ATAAGGTTTGAACATGTTTAGGGATTGTCGGAGTATATTGATTGACTAAATTACTTAAAGATAGCATAACAACTAAGAAAATACCTAATGAAATAATACAAAGTATTTTAGTACTTCTATATAGGACTTTTGGAGGAGACAGAGTAGTACAAATTATCGAAATATTAATGCTTCATTTGGTATGATAAAAAAATGAAATGATGGAAAGTTAGAAGGATAGATAAAATATCATGTTTGGTAAAGAAGGAAAATAGGAAGGATGGAAAAGTTGATGAATTAACTTTCCTTCTAACTCACCAAAATCAATCTCTCCAAAATCGTAAGGAAAGCGGATGAAAAGTTAATTATTTGTGTTGAGATGTATTTTATTTGTCTACTAGTCATAACCTGTGCCTGAAAGTACGAAAAAATATAAAATTCGAGCATCCAAAAAATCGATCCCATTATATTAATTTTTTTCAAAATATATTAACTACAAATTAATCAAATATTAAATGATTAAATATATGATAAAAATGAGTGATGTGATGTTTTTAGGGAATAAATATATAAATGATTAAACATATGATAGAAATAAGAAATGCGATTTGACGTTTGAGTCTGACAAAAAGATGATGGGTGAGATAAATGATTGATAATGGTTTTGAGGGAGAAAATATGACTGGGACAAAATTCAAACACACTCATGTTTTATTATATAGATATATATTATGTATACATTAATTTCATATAAAAATATAATGATAAAATATGTGTGTGTGTATATATATATATATATATATTTTTTTTTAAAAAAAAAAAATAAAAAAAAAAAAAATTATTTTAACTAGGGGTGAAAACTTTCGACTCTACACGATGACACGACTCGAACTCGACACAAATTTTATGACACGAACTTTACTATATAACTCGACACGAACTTAAAAAATGGTCTGACACGCGAACAAAAAAGGCTCATAATTTTATGACTTAACACGAATCTGACACGATATGACTCGATTGTCAATCTTAATCTTAGTCATCACAAAAAAAAAAATTAAAGAAAAAATTAGTCATTTTTATTTTTCATACATCCAACCAAACACAAAGGAAGGAAAGTGTATCATTTCGAAGGAAAATGTATCATTCCTACTTTCCATCCTTGAAAGATAGAAAGTGTATCCCTCCTACTTTTCATCATTCCTATCAAACGGAGTATAAATAAATGAGTCCCGTACTAACTATTTATGATAAATGAAGCTACCTTGAATGCAATTATGATATTTACTACTTTGAAGTCATCAACGCAAAGCTATGGATGCATATGCTATCATGTTGCATGTAACACTTTCCTATATACGTAGTAATATCAATGGTGTCCGAACAACACTGCAGAAAATCATTGGTTTTACAGAAGAATTACGTGAGAAATACGAGTTCTTGGCAAGCCGCTACATGTTCTTTCCTTGCCGTTGAACCATAGAAGAACCACGTATCTTCTCTTAGGTTGTCTGAAAACTTCCAATTTTCCCCTGCCATACAATAAAGTAGCTCCACCACAAGCTAATTTAAACTGATTGTTAAAAGGACATAAATCAAACATAGATTTGGGGACTGTAAGAAGAGGTGAACAGATTTACAGGTTAGCACTGTCTTAAACCCATCCTCAAACCAACTTGTACAGTACATTCAACATAGACAAAAGGCCAGAATACACTTAAAAGAGTGAAGCACTTAAAACTGTTGTGGTTGTGAAGCTTGCCATACACTTCCAGCTATGAAGTAGTACATCATGGGGTGTCAGTAGTTTTGTGTTGAATTTTTTTGTATCGTGTCATTTTCGATACGTCTTGCGGTTGTATAAATAAAAAATTATTTAATTCTACAATAATTTATATAATATTATTTAAAAAATTATAAAAATTATAAAATAACCATTTCATGTCTATAATACCCATTAAATACCAATTTTTTTAGTTGTTCGTATTTAACCTTAATTTAACTCATTTATTTAATGTGTCTATTAATCGGGTCATTCTCAAATTTTATGCCAAGTCGAGTTGAAGTTCATGAGTAAAATTAACACTCCTGGTACTGCGTATATTAGGCGTGTTACTTTCAAGGAATTAATAAGAGATTTTTTACCTCAATTTCCCCATGATAGCTGAGTCCCCTTTGTCCCACTCACGTGGCCAAAAAAAAAACCGCGAAACTTGATTCGCAAATTTATTTATATAAAATACAGTATAATTTAAATCTCAAAAGATAAATATAATGATTTATACTATTCGCAGTTGAGATCGATTTAAATTTTATTTTAAAATTAATCTAACGGCTAATATTAACATTTTAAATTTAATAGAAAAAATAAGTTACTAAGGGTGTGTTTGAAATGACTTTCTAAAAGTGTTTTTAAGAATTATTTTTTGTTAGTATTTTAAAAAAAAATAATTTTTGCAACAGCCCCACCACCACCACCCCCACTGCTCAATCACCATCACCACTACCACAACCACTGTCACACCACCACCACCACCACCACCACCACCTCCACCTCCACTACACCACCACCACCTCTTCCTCCACCGCCCCCACCACTATCACCACCGTCCCACCACCATCACTACCACTATCACCATTGTCACACCACTACCTCCACCGTTCCACCACTATCATCCCTACTACCACTATCACCACCACCACTACCACACTTTACTACTATCATCACTATCCCACCATCACTCCTACCCACCCCCACCGCCCCATAACTACCCTCATGACCATCACAACTATCACCACCATCACCAACCCACCACCGCCACCCCACCCTCACTGCCCCACTGCCACCATCATCGCCACCCACCACTGATTACTATCATCATCGTCCACTGTCACCATTCACCACCATTATCATCATCATCTTATTCTTATATTTATTATCATCACCACCATTATCATCATGATCTTATTCTTATATTTATTATCATCACCATCATTATCATCATGATCTTATTCTTATATTTATTATCATTATCACTATCATCCCACTACCACCGTTGCCTATTGTCAGCACACACCAAGGCCAAAACTACCATTGTTGCCCACCGTCACCCATTACTACAACCTACTACCACTCGTCATCGCCCACCATCGCCACCAGCCACTGTCACCCACTCCCACAACACCTATCACCACTACGCGTCATCGTCCACCAATATAGCCACCCACTGTCACCTACCCTTACCATACTTACCACCGCCGTCATTCGCCACCACCCATCACACTCTTGCCTAGAAGCATCCATCGTTGCCCACCACCACCATCGTCACCGTCCACCACCACCACCACTTTCAACCACCATCATCGTCGTCCACCACCACTCACACCCACCATCACCACCGTTGTCACTCACAACTGTTACTTCCATTATCGTCACCCAAAACTCACCACTACCATCACCGTTGTCACCCACAACTACCAACACGACGACAATTGTCGCCACCCACCATAACCATCACTGTCTCCCACTATCACCATTGTCGCCCACCACCACTAACACCGCTCACTCCCATTACAATCGGTACTTAAATTTCTTTATTTCTCATTTATGTTTGTGATTTAATTTTGGGTGTGAATATAAATATGTTTATTGCTGACTAATTTTTTTATTACTCTATACCTTCAAGTACGGAGAATAACTAGTCTATATATATAATAAAATACAATATAATTCAAATCTCATGAGATAAATAAAATAATTTTTGTAATTCACAATTGAAATCGTTTTAAATTATACTTTAAAGTTAATGTAACAGCTAATATTAACATCTCAAATTTAATATGAAAAACAGGCCCCTAAAGCTGTATTTCGAGTGATTTTTTAAAAGTACTTATAAAAATTATTTCTCCTAAATACTTTAAAAAATAATAATAATGTTTGGAACCACTCCATCACTACCTCTAACACCACCACCCTCACCGTTCCACCCCCACTATCACTACCACTACCACCATCACCACCCACCCCCACTGCCACCACCACTACCACCACGATCATCACCCCACCGTCACTCATTCCCACACCCACACCCACAACCACACCACCATCACTATCACCACCCTACCATACCCACCACCCCTCACCACCATCACCACTTCCATTGCCCCACCACCATCGCCCACCACTACCACCACCACCACCACCACCACCTCACCATCATCACTACCACTATCACCACCGTCCAACCACCACCATCTCAACCACCACTGCTGCAGCACCCTACCATTATCACCTCTATTGTTGCACCTTACCACCAAGTCCACCACTACTATTGTCCCATCATCACCCCTACCACCCCCACCCCACCACTACCATCGCCACCCACCATCAATTGCTACCATCGTCATTCATGACCACCACCCACCACCATCATCATCTTATTCTTATATTTATTATCATTATCACCACCACTCCACTACCCGTCGCCCACCGTCAACACTCACCACCACCAGTCATTGTCACATACCCAAACACATCTACCACCACCACCTATCATCGTCCACCGTTGCAACCACCCATTATCACCTACCCCCACCACACTTGATCACCGCCACCATTTGTCACCACCCATCACACTGTCACCTAGTAGCACCCATCATTGCCCACCACCACCACCATTGCCACCCATGATTGCCACTACCGTCTTCGTCACTCAAACCCCACCACCACCATCACCATCCCCACTCATTGCCGCTACTACCACCACGATCATCACCTTACCCACTAGGGCCACCACAACCACCACCATCTCCCATCATCACCATTATCGCCCACCACCACTACCACGGCTCACCCCTACTTCAATCGATGCTTAAATATTTTTCTCTCTTCTATGTTTGTAATTTAATTTTAGATATGAATACAAATATGTTAACCTATTTTTTTTATTACTAGGCACGGAAAATAACTAGTCAAAGAATAGTCAACTTAACATAAAGTTTTTGTCTGAACACTAGATGGGATTTACAACATGCAGTGTTCCACCATTGTGTTCAGTTAGATGATTTACATCCAACAATAATACAACATACACTAGCCCAAATATACCCAGAGGAGAATTCAGCTTGTGACAATCCATGTCTACAGCTAGAATTAAACTACGTAAAAATTATACCCAACATTTGCAGCCAGGAAAGTTAAAAAAACCCGATAAATACAACTCGGAAATGAAATGCTAATAAGCTTACATACATTTCCATGAAATAATGTACAGTACATAACTAAAAATTACAGCGCAGAACACATTTTCTGCACATGAATGATTGGCATTCCTAAACAGTGGGGTTTCCTGCAGTAGAAGTTTGACTTGATCGTTAGTTGATTTGGTCTGTAGTTCCCCAAGGGAAAGCAGAAGCATGACCACAATGAGGATATACATCGGCTTCATATATGCTGCTATAGTTGGCCCAACCTTTCCTGATAAGAAAAGGAATAAGAGAGAGAGAGAGAGAGAAAAGGAGGGGCTCTTTAACATCAGTACATTGAGAAGTAAAAGCATTTGAAATTCAAGAAAACAAATTTTTCCTAAAATTGAATCGAACTGGATAAGATGCTCTGAGAGAGAGAGAGAGTCTAACCTGAAGCATCTGCATCAACTTCGGATGTTGTTCTAGAAGCTGGCAGAGTTTATCCCGGTCACCCAATAGAGACTGCATGAAAGGAGAAGATCAAAACACAAAGTCTTTGCAAATGCATCATAACAGATTTTAACCACGGTTTATATACACCATGTACCTGAATAGCTTCTGGGGAACTAAAGAAATGTTGTAATGACATTCCAGAATCTGATTGTTCATCCCCTTGCTGATGCAGAACTTGAGGTCGAGGTTGTTCAACCTGCTGTTGCATAGTATGTGAAAAGTTGTCTTGTTGAGGTTGATAATATACATGTATTGGAGAAACTTGGGGTTGTTGCAAAATCTGTAATTGTTGCACTTGCACTGGAACAGAGTTCTGTAGCAAAGAAACACCTTGCTCTGCCTGTGATGAAGCTGAAATAGGTGGCCTAAGATGCTGTGGTGGCTGCGGAGGACGAGGAAGTTGTGGTGGCTGCAGTGGCTGTAACTGACCAAGAGATTGTAGGGAGTGAATGGAAGGTAAAGGAATTGGGAGGTTCTGAGAGGTATTGGATGGGTTTTCCCCTGGGTGTAGGCTTGGACTACTTCCATAGAGACTAATAGGTACAGAGGCTGGCCGATTGAAAAGCAAAGGTGGCATTAGAGGAGGTAGTGGGTAAGGAGTTAGTATGGCCCCTGATGCTGAAAGGTTTCCCAGGCGAGCATCACTTGAAGATGCAACAGAGGTATGCAGAAGCTCGGTTGCTCCAGCATTAGTCTGACTGTAAACTGAGGCTTGGGAAGCAGGAGTTCTTAAGGATGGAAAAGTAGAAGGGTTGGCTGAATAAGGGGGTGGTGTAGGAGGAAGGGGTGGTGGAGGCCTAGCAGATCCGCCAGGGGAAGAGAGGGATGTCCGTGCATACTTGGAATCTGGCAAGGGACTGGATGAAGCTGCAGAAGTAGAACTGATACTCAATGCAGCAGGATACTCTGAGTGGACCTGCAAAACACGTAGATCGAATAATTCCATAAATAAAGATAAATAATGGCACAAAACAAGCCTCCAGAAGAACTGCACAGAAGACTCCATTCACTTACATGGAATCCTGGGGGCAGGGGTGGCTGCACATCCACCATAGAGTGAACAAAAGGAGATGACTGAGTTGAAAGCAGATCTGGAGTTTGAGATGGTACAGGTGAGATTGTAGGTGGAGGTGGCATTGGGGGTAAAGGAGGTTGGTTTGGCTGAAATTTCTGGTCATAAAATCCTTGAGAACCAATAGAGGGTGCAATACCAGCTCGTTGTGGGCTATTATAGAAATTAGGTGGAGGCATTCTAGAATCATTTGGTAAGTGTACAGATGGTCCAGATGGCTTGTTATATACTGAAGCTGGAAGCCCAGAACTAGTTGCCATTACCGCAGAATCAAACCCATTAGAAGTCTTAACAGGAACATTCTGAGACTGCCCACGATACTTTTTATCTGAAGAAATGCTTGGCTCTCGAGTCAGTGACATCTCCGGACGTGAAGCAGATATCCTTGAAGAAAATTCAATATTAGTATTTCCATCAACATTGGATGCTAAGGGTGTTCCCAAGTGAGAAAACTGGCTGCTTTCATTCGCATCACTCTCGGTCTCTTCTACAATTGAACGTGGAGAACTTGGCTCAACAATGACAGAAGCAGGCTGTTGTAGATTATCATCCGGCTGAGGAAAGGGCAGTTTGTCATCAGATTCTGATTCCTCACCATCAAACACTATATCAATACCCTGAAGATCATCATCAAGATCGGGTTTCAACTGCTTAGATTTACTAAATTTCTCCGAATCTGTATCATTTTCAGGTGGGGCAGTTTTCACTTGTGATGCTGCATTGCTAACTGCCATCACCGCAGGATTTTGACGCTCCCTTTGTCTGGCCATGAATTCATCCACATGAATAGATGGAGGTCTCCCACTGGTAGATCCTACTCGTGGGATGGCAATTACGTTAGTACTACTAGAACCATCAACATTTCTTTCTCTGGCAACATAGTCATCGACATGCATTGAAGGAGGCCGGCTAGTATTTGGCTTTCGCTGCCGAAAGGTATCCCTTCTAGTTGGGCCAGGAGGGGCACTGGAGAGTCCTGAACCCCTAGAGAAAGAACTTTGGGACATAGTCTCAGCTGGAACATTCTCCCCTCTGGGATGCCTATTTGTTCCCTCCAAGGAGGATGTTTTCCGTTTCAAGGGAAGAGCCGCCTGTGACAATCTCTCTCGCAAATTTTCGGGGCACTCCCAGTAAAATTTATCTCCAAATCCACCTAAGTTGTAATTTTCGACCCTTTCAGCACTTCCGTCAGCAATTTTACGTATCTTCGAAGACACTGGAACATCACTAGGTGAGAAAGGAATAATACTAGAAATTATCACATCTGACTTTACTGAGCCAAGAGGCTTTTGCAACAGAAGGGATAATGACTTCACAGACTCCTTCGCCTGCACATCCACAAAAATCGGTAAAGCATGTAGAAAAAATTGCTCAGGAACCAGCAAAAAACTAAGAGAAATAAGAAAAAGTAGCTGACATGAATAATATAAAAAACCAATCATACATGGTCCAAAATTGTGTTCATATCAGATGCAGCTGAATACTCATCATCAACACTCATATTTGAGCCTATCAAGGTTGTTAGTTCCTGTATATAATTCATGTTCTCTTCAGGAAAACCATCTATCTCACTCATATCATATGGAACCCCAAAAAGAAACTTCACCGCAGCAACCCTGTCCATGTTCAAACTGAAAATAAAGAGATAGTATGAAAGTCAGTATAGTAAATGCCATTAAGAAAATCATTTTACCAGTGTAACTTATTTTTCTCAATGTAACTTCTTTGTTCATAGCAAGAAAGTTACATCCCAAAACCCAAAAACTAGTAAAACTAATTCATAAGAGTCCCCCTACAAATCATGGGCCAGATTTTGTTGCAACAATTTCAAGCTAGCTTCACCAGTTCACTAGCATTAAGCAAAACGAGTATCGCTAGTGAACAAGGATGATGCTTTTCATAAACACAGCTATAAAATATTCTAGTATATCTAAAGTTGATAATTACAATTTTCAGACTTATACGACCACATGTACATAATTATACCCATAAAACAATCTTAATATGATAAAATTTAAAATAGAGCAGAAATATAAAAGTAATTAAGTAGCCAGAGATGCACAAAGGACATACTTTTCCCCTTCCATGCAATAGCGCAAAGCACCAGAAGACAATGCACCAACAGCCTCAACCAAATACACTGGTAGAACATCATTTGAATCAACAGACCTTAGTAACTTTGTCCAGCAACATAGTAAAGGAGGACATTTCTTCCATTCAGATGCATGAATAAGACTGTAGTTTCCATTGTGTTCCCGCCTACTCTGAGATTCCAATTCCTCAATACTAGAGGAATGGATATATAAGAAAATGGACAGCAAAGAATCTCGAGCTTCAGTGCAAGAACCAAACTCCTTGAAAGCTAATATAGAGGCAAGTAGTTCTCTTCCAACGGGTAGGACCTGAAATTAGAAATTTTAGAACAGTAAAAAGGAAGGAATTGACCATTGACATCAAAGAAGCAAGACAATGTATTCACCAACATTTTCAAGCTATGGAAGGACACATCAATCTCAAACTCACAAATTCCATGAGTGAACCATGACAAAATTGGTCTGAGATGTCAAACTCAATATTACAAGAATTGAGCAAGCAGGCAAGCACACCAGATAGAGAAAGAGAAAGAGTAGGACATAAAATAAGAGAAGAATATATTCAAAGATTGTTTCTAAAAAACTTTCACAAAGACATGAGAATGAACCGCACAAAATTTTCAAATATACATGTAATGCATCAACCAAGTGGCAAAGAATTTCCTCCGTGGTCTCTTTGCAATTGATGCAAATTATTCATAGCTTTGAAAAGGTGCAAGATGACATATTAATGGGAATCGACATTAATGGAACAGCAGGAATGGATCAAATAAGTTGTGTCCTACTACTGGCATAAAAACCTAACAAGAATAAAATAGGTATCAAAATTCATCATGGACCTCCAGTGCATCTCAAACATGAAAAATTATTGTGCTCAAAATAGAATCCTGGCATAAAACCTAACTAGAATAAAATAAGTACAAAATTCATCATGGACCTCCCGTGCAACTCAAAACATGAAAAATTATTGTGATCAAAATAGAATCCAGGCACTAAAATATGGTCCGGTGAGGCGGTCAACAAAGAATCATGTGGCCATATCTATTAATCAATTTGGAGAAAAGTAGGGCCATGATGACAGAGACCTTTTCCTGGGTGTTCCAGTCATAAGCTCCTCCCAGTGACCATTAACGAATCAATCTTTTCTCTCCCCACTCCTTCCATGCCTTTCCCTCCTTTCTTTGTCCTCCCATCATATCAGCTTTCTCTTTCCTTGACTCCCCTCACCCCCAAAAATAATCAACTAACTTACAAAAAGACCAAAAACAACCTAACGTAGAGTAAAAATTGGGGCAACTTAAGTAAAGAATTGCAAGTTCTTTAAGGTAAAAAATCTTTAATATCAACAGTAATGGCATTAGAGAAAGCAAGCACATAAAGCAGGCATAAACAAATTATATGCACACATAACTGAGTTTTTCCCTTCAAGGATAGGAATCAAATTGTATATTTATATCATGAGAAAGAACATACCTCGCATAACTTGAGGATATAAGACAAAAACAAGGAATAATCTTCGGCAGTCAAAGTTTTGGAACTGTGCCTAAGAAAACCAACAAAAAGTTTTTTGTCAATATATAAGTCAATCTTTTCCAATGCATTGTAAAAACACCAGTTGAAAACAACAGCTCACCAATCCTGTATACCAGGGTATTGCAAATATGTCCGAGAATCACTAATGAGTGAGACACACTTGACCACTGGGAGACACCAACTAAGCTGAGAAAACCCAGACTTATCTATATCTCTGGTCTCTGAGAATTGCTGTTCATCTGAACTAGTTGCACATACACACCTTTCAAGCACTTTAGTAAGCATATGAATACCACCCTCCTTCAACAATAATGGCTGTGGAGAGAAAATTTATTGCAAGCCAAATATTTTATCAGCCGCATTTTTATGTTGAAACATGTTTAAGAATGGAAAGTAACCCTAAAAAAATACCTTGGCATGCGGATGCTCCAACAAGATAGCAAGAAAATCAAGCAATTTGTAAACCTGAAAAGAGTCCTCTCCACACAAAATAAAAACAAATAAAAGAACAAAAAAAAAATTGCTACAGCAATAGGAAAAACTTGGTACATGAAGATTAGAGTCACCTTGTAAGCATCTGTATCTGATAGCAAAGATGGTTCAGAAAGGTGGTCAGAGATCCACAATACTATGGGTTGCAGAAGTACGGAAGCACTATTAGCATTTAGGCATGCGATTCGAATAATGAACACCCGGAGCATGTCTTGTATGACCACTAATGTCTGGTAAAAGGATATTTACAAAATCAGAAAGAGGAACGAAAATGTGACCCGAACAAATATCCAGGAAAGGACAGCAAAATTTGCATACCCCCTCCCCCCGCCGCAGGGCCACAGGAAGGGGGCATTTTGCCCAGGCTGGTCTTTACTCATTTTAGAGAAGGAAAATGACAAAAATTACTATTATACATGTTGGACTAACATACACTAATAGCACAACGTAAAATAATCTCTGAAATTTTGTCAAGCTGTGATGTCAACTGGCCAAGCAGCTTCTCAGCGTGTCCAGATTCTAAGTACCAATTAATTTGTATCTCCTTTTGAGGCCCTAATAATGTACCAACACCCAATTTTCGAAGTGCACTCAACATGGGCATTCCATTCTTCCAAAGCCAGACTTGTTCTTCAGGAAATAGATCGTTCTATATTGCAAAAATAATCCAGAAACAAAAAGTCAGAAATCAAATATTCAAAAGAATCAGCAATCATATACAATAATTCTATTGAAAATATAACACTTTCCTATGAAGTTCAGGACCAATGAGATAGGAAGGATGACATACCAACAAACAAAGCAAACTGCATGTTTCCTTTGGACCCATTGCCAGCAAAGAAGTAGCATGAAGACTATCGAGAAGGAAATGGAAAAGGCCTGGAATCCAACCGAACAATGGCCAACAAGCAAGTGCAGACACAAGAAGATGGCAAACCGCTTCCAAACCAAGTGCCAAATCAGGGTAAGGACATGATAAATCTGCCGCACAGGCAGCAAACTTGGGGCTGAAAATAAAGGTAAGCAATCAATCATATTCAGAAAATATGACCCCTGCCATCCAAATGTGCAAATAAAATGTATGCTTCAAATACCTCACTTCTCGATGCAATTGCAAAATTGAATTCAATAGTTTTGTATTTCTGTGCAGCTCCTTGGCGTCCTACAAATGGGAGGTTAAGTGAATCATTTCTACCAGAAAACAGCTGGTAAAATATCTTGGAAAGAAAGTAACCAATAAAGTCGAACGGATTTAGTACTATAAAACAAATATAGATTAGCCATAGATAGAGGGGCTGTCTGCAAGAGAGATTATGCCTCGAAAGAATTTAAAGCGATGCATGAGCATGAAGAACATGTCCTCATAAATTCTTCGGGATAAACACTGACAGGTTACCTCTCCGACTGATATATCATTGCAACAATGTTTCTCTCATAAGATAGCCATGATACAAGATCAAAGACCAGATTAAAAAGGTCAGTGCACGAAAAAAAAGAACAAATGCAGTTCAAGCATCGTATATATCATATAGGCTAAGCCAAATACTCCAACGCAGTTCGTGTACACTACATTGGATTGCCCAATTATTCGTCTTGAACAATAATAAGGTGAATTGCTTCAATTTTGACAAAGAGACACTGTATCATTCAAACATCTCACTACAAATATCACAAAAACATAGAAGGATCTGCATCACATATAACAATTCACAAACCTCCCAACTTGCCATTCTCTTCACATGCTATTTAGGCAGTCCTTCCCTGGCTAAACAGAGAATAAATGACATTCGACATTTGACCAGTCAATATCACCACAAAAGAAGTTTGGTATCTTTTGGCCTGTGCCATAATAATGGCAAGTTTGATAGGGTGCAAAGTTGGCTCTCATCCAAAGATTATGACTAACGATTTTAACCAAGCCTGTCAGCAAGGCCCACTGTTTCAATGTTGGAAGTGAGCTTCAAAACGCAAATATGCATATTGGATTTTAGCTCACTTGTTCATGGATCAACAGAATTTTGATAACCATCCACAACCAGATTGTTATACAATTCTTACACCCAAAAATAATGGAGGGTCAAAACAAATTCTATCCATATTGGCCAACAAACAATACTTTTTATGACAGACAATGTGCCGATCTGAACTGAAACATGAAAGTTTGAAAATTTGAGAGAATCAATTTAATTGATGAACCAGCTAGGCTCTACTCCTTGTAGGAATGGCAGTGGATCGATAAAAAATGGGTATTCTCGTCCAAACCCACCCCGTTTGGACCAGGGATAGACCGTACGTATTTGATGGTGGATATATACGGGAATACCCGTATAAACCTGTGTAGGGATGAAAGCGGGGATGGACTGACACTTATCCCCTCCCCGCGTTATCCGTTATTATATATATATACGTTGCTGTGAATACAAATCTACATATTATTGAATGATTTTTTCTTTTAAAAATTGTTTTATTTTTTGATTTTTTTTAATGATTTTGGCTTGTAAAAGTGTAGATCTTTATATTTTTATATTTTTTTATGTTAAATTATGTTGTATTGCATGATATTGCATTAGATTTACAAGAGAGACATACTTTTAATTATATTATATTGGATTACGTTATAGACAAGGTTTTAATTATATTATGTTGTAAATAACAAACTTTTAATTATGTTATGATATTCTCTAATTATGTTAAGATTATTTAAAATGTTTAATTTATTTAGAATTTTGAATTATGTTAGCTTGGGTTTGGGCAGGTAAGGTGGATAGGGGTGGGGGCAGAGGTGAAGGCGAGGGCAGGGTGGGGGCGGAGATTATAAATTTACCCACGGACGGAGATGGGGATAAAAACTATACCCGTTAACTGGGGTGGATCGGGAATGGACAGTTTTTTTAAGCAGAGGTATGCGGATGGAGACTACACCCCCCCACCTCCGCTTTGGTCCACTGCCATCCCTAACTCCTTGCCACCTCTGTGCATGGCAAAGTAATATTTCCACAGACTCTTAGTATCACATACTAACAACCAAAAATATCAAAATATACCAAACCCTTTCAGACCCTTAGTTTAACTTGGTTGGGGCAAAGTTTCAACATGCCTTCCACCGAATATAAAACCCTTTATAGCTGATAATATTAGGGCCAGCAATCTTGTTGGGTGAAACGGGTTCGTGTCGCGTCTAAATGGGTTCATTTCAAAAACAACTCAACTCATAGACCACCCATTTATCAAACGAGTTCCAACAAGAACACAACTCATTTATTTAGCGGGTCACACAAGGCGAGTTGTGTAAACCATTTAACATATGGGTCATATCGGATTGATTCATGTTGACACGTTTATTCTTTTCATACCCGAGAAACGAACAAAATAATCCTAATAATCTTTCAAGTAATTTCAACTCAAGAAACCAACAAAATAATCCCTAGGATTCCAAAATTTTGCATAAAACATACTATTTCATGCAAACCTTCATTCAAATCAGAAAAATCTATTCACTTTACCCATGCCAATACAAAATATCACAATCACATCCACCAAACTCCTAAATAATTCATATGGTATTTTCCCTACATAATCACATAAGCCAAATGGTAAAAAAAAGAAAATAAATTGAAGATAAAAGCTGGCATTAGTCGGTCTTCGACATCATCAAGCCCTTCCAAGCTTAATCCAAACAACAAATACTTATACCATTAGTTTCACAACTCACCAAACCACCACTAACGTCAAAAACCAATAACAATAGTAACATATGAGAGATTTAACAAAAGAGAGTGAGAGATCCGAGAATGGGGGAGATATCTAAGAGGCATGAGGGTGAACGATAGTAGAGAGGGAGAGATGACATTGATAGATCTAAGAGAGTCAAAATTAAGATAGATTTGGGTGAGAGAGAGAGAGAGAGTTGAGTTAGACAGCATTCTAAGGAATAGAGAAATTTGGAGGTGAAAGGTATGAGAGAAGAGGAAAAGATTGAGTGAAAAATAAGCAGGTTTTTGTTTCTATAACAAGGTTAAAGGGTGGTAAATGGACCGATTCATTTGGTAAACGCATTTGGCGGGTCCACCGGTTTGTCACCCGAATCTGCTAAACTTTATTCCAATCCCGCTAATTTCATGTTGATTCGTGCCAGATTATGTGAGCAATTGTCGGGCCTAATATCCACTCATGCTTCCACTTAATCAATGAAATGATAAGGGGAGGTGACGAATAAATCAACAAGGGACAATTAGCAATCAAAGTATATTGTATGAGGCAACCTAAATTTCATACACTTATACTTTCCAAAAAAAAAATCATACACTTCCAAGTTTTCCCTTTCATTACCACCAAGTGAACAGCAACGTTTTGTAATGATAACAAAAGAATGATGATTACACCATTTGATGGTCGTCTTTGATATATTAGGTAAAATAACACAAACGAATGATACCATCTAAATTGTATAGCTTTTTTCCTCCTTCCACAATTAATTCAATTTTTGCACCAATACTCATTCGATATAAGTGACTGGTCAGACCACGATTAAATTAAGATGATTTTATCTAGTTTTCTAGATTATGCGGAACCATTAAAATTGATTCTTCACCCTCTCTTATCCAAACAAGAAGTTAAATATATTGATTCATGTATTCATTATCCAATCGAAAAAAAACAACTGGAATACACAATGCCAAATTATTCATCTTCCAATAGAGTTATCAAGCAAAACCTGTAATCTCTGCAACAGATTAATCAGCAGTACCAAAGAAGGCACCAAAAGATCAACAAGGCTTTGCTCGCGATTTCGTTCCAGCAGCAAATCTGAAGTCGAATTGCATTCAGTACCCTCGTCAACAAGGTAATCTGCTTAAGACAACAAATCAAATCACAAGGTTTGGAGATTAGAAAGGGAAAAAAATTTAGTCAATGAACAGGAATTCCTTCAGTACAAACCAAAATAATAAAAAGACTACTGTAAGAAGGCATATCACTGAGAGAAAGATGGGAATATCGTAATGTACGATCAATCCCAGAAAGAATAAATATAAAACTCAACAAATGATACCAAAATCACATTATATATCTGGAAACGAAATCTTTCGACCCATAGAACAGTTAAAAAGGAATTACATTCACATAATCTGAATGCTTCTTTACCACAAAAAACATAATCCAACTTTACTTGGTATGGCCCAAAAAAAACTAACCATAAATCACAAATTCAAGAATATCATTTTGATTAAGCTATGTTGCTGATGAATCAACATAGTTTCAAAAGTGAAACTTTATTGGGTTAAACTGGCCAAACGAGAAAGAGGTGACAAATACTAAGGATCATCGTGCTACAAAAGATGGAACACCATAATCAATGTGTGGAGCTTGAAATTTGATCACTAAATTCGCTACATTCTCCCATATAATATTGACTAAGATATTGCTCCTTTCATGAACACCATAATAGACTCATGCATGAATTAAGTACTTGAGCCTTTTATCTGCATTTGCAAACCAAAAAGAGAGTTGCATTCCAACGTGGCCTATTGATTAGGCAGAGGTGCCAGGTTAGACCCATGCAAAGTATGTGGACAGCACAGATACAACTGATATGTGGATGCATCCGTTCTCACTTTCATAGAGCAACATATACAACATGTTACTGCAAGAACTTTAGTCGACCAATGCCTCAAGGAAATCAATAAAAAACATTCCCAGAATGTCCGCCAATCACAATAACATGTGTAAGAAGATTAAAATCCATAATGTTCTGGCATTTAACTGAAATGATCAGTTACTGAAAGTCCAGTTAGCATCCTGGAAGAAGAATCTTGATATTGGTCCTAGAGAGAGGGAAGGATTCCATTCACAGCATTTTACAATAGAACCCTCACAACCCCTGCACATTCATTTCCAGAAAATGTAAATGGAGGCCTTCTGTTGATGCAGTGGCCGAAATTCTTTCCCAACAAAGAAACTCCAATTTTCACTTCAGGAAACAACATAGTGCCAACTATTGTCATTTGTCAGTAATTATAGGCAGATGAACATCTAGCAAACTAAGAACTGAAGAAACATAAATGGTGCCAACCGCATGGAACAGCCTTATCAACACATCTATTTGTGACTCTGTTCCACCATATGTGTTGACAATCAATCCACGCATTCTACAGGATAACAGCTACCTCAATATCTCAAACAAAACAGGCTCAATAGTTATTCAAATTTTCCCTTCTGTTATTGATACTATCTTTGGCAGATGCATACTTGGCATAAAATTTTAATCGATAAACAGTATGTGGAGCTTCAAAATATAATTAAGTCTGCTATATACATCAAGCAACTATAAAGGCAGCCATAAAAGAAAAAATAATTTTCAAGTGAAATGGCCACTATTGCCACTATTCAAATAATTCACATAAGCAGCCCAAAACAAATACCACTTCATACTAACCATAATTGTTGGAGGACCTCTCCAGCATGAGCTTACAGTCAATTAGGACTGCATGGACTACCATCACTGCACCTTCATCATATAGAGCAGCAGCAACAGCCTTCACCAATTAAACAATAATCAGCTAGGAAGATCTCATAAGTAGAACATGCATGAAAAATAGCCAATCTCGTACCGAGTTTTCTGATATGAACGCCAAAATTCGAAATGCTGTAGTCATCTGAACCACAGAGGAGTCACGAAGGATAACGCCAGGAAAATCCTTCTCGGTGATTGGTTTACCAACTAAATTTTCAATAACATTACCATCAGAACTATTGGTAGAATCTCCAACATTCTCAACATCCATCGCATCAGATGATAGAATACTTGTCAAGGCTATGTTAGCATCTCCTCCAGAAGCTAACACAGCAATATACCGTAGAAGACCAACAGCCCCATTTCTTTGGTAAACTACACTAGCATCCATCCATTCCAGGAGCCGCGTAGAAGAATCTTTTCTGTTGGACCCTGGGGACGAGGAATGTAAAGCCCTATGAAGTTCTTTAGCATGCTCAATCCAAGAACCCAGGGAAGATGCCGTTGAATCCGTTACAATAATTTCAAGAATTTCAGCAGCCGAGTGAAATATTGCGAGATTCAGTGGCGAAGCCCCTGCAAAATAAGGATTTCCTCCAAATATTATAAATACTTTAAAGAAAGGAATGGCAAGCACTCATCTGCCCCCAAGCGATATGTCAGCTCTCCAAAATAGGAGTAAGGCTACCTAACACTTACCTCGCCCTGACCCCGCAACAAGCAGGAGCATTGTGCAGGGTACACCTCTTTTAAGGATAAAGTAAATGACTGACCAAGAAAACCACAAACATACTTAGCCCCAAAAGTTAGTGAATTACCACTATTCAAGGGTACTGGATCCAGATCTTTAACTGAACATAATGCCGTCATCAAAACTGAAACAGCCTACAGGGGGAAAATCATTACAACGAAAAACTGAAGAATGCAGTATCACACAATGATGAAGAAAAGATCACAAATTTTAGTGATAAGAAATCACAAGTGCATACATAAGAAAGTGAAAGTGATAAATATGTAAACAATTACTAAAGAATACTTATATCAAGATTGTTTGTATTATTTGAATCGTAGATGACATAGCGTCAGACTAATTGAAAATAAATCTAGTTTCTGCATGCCACAACAAAGATGGCTGATAACCACAAATTCATGATACCTCCGGAAAATGTCCCAGGGCCAACAAAGCCCTGCGTCCACAGTCAGACCTGCATATCTTACAAGCATTAGTTAAAACAATAAAAACTGTATATCTTATCTTTGTATCCCAACATCAAGCAAATAGGTTTAACTAGTCTCACCTGGAAAGACCACAAAGCTCCCACAACACCCATAGAATTTCTTCACTCTGTGGAGTTGACGTAATCAAACGATCTATAGCATTAACCTGAACCAAATGAATCAGAAATTCCTATACTTAGCAACAAGACAGTAATGAATTGAAGAGAGGAAGGGGGAAGAGAATTCAAAAACCCAAAAAAAAAAAAACATAACATAAATAGCAAAAACAAAGCAACTGTTGTCTACATTAACAAACTGAAACTGACCACTCTCAAATGTGTCTCAACAATTATTCCAACATCAGAAGGGCGACAAAAAAAACCCTTCGATATCAAGACAGATGCATAATGAAAAGGAATGGACTCTTCCTTTTTCAGATCTTCAGCACCCCTTAGAGCAAGAATTACTGTCATGGAGAGTTCAGGATCGAGTAGAAGGAAAATCAAGCCTGAAACAGACAGCATACAATATGAATAAAAAAATAAAAACTTGAAGACTAAATAAATTGAGAAAGTGATATTCACTAAACCTGATCGACAATAGAGAAGTGAAAGAATTATGGCCTCAATATATGATGCAATATCAATAAACAAGTCCATAGCATGTCCCACATCAGATCGTAAGATAGAGGATGACAACAATGCAGCTGACAAAGGAAGGAAACCCCTTTCCTGTTACAAGGAAACAAAATGAGATAACTGTGCAGCAAAGAAAGCCCCTAAAAACAACAAACAAGAACTAGGGAAAATGCAATGGCTTTTTGCTTCAAAAAGTAAAAACTCTGAATGGAGATCATTTAGTCAGATCTCCTCAAGAAATGAAGAAAATTTACTATCAACGATACATAATATCATCGAACAAATCTCCAGGAATCAATAGTTAATCTAAGTTACAAAATCCTCTCTCTCAGTCCATGCATATGACCACAGAGCAGCTTTAAAGTTGGGTGAATTATATCATAGCTACAGAGATCTCGATTCCTGGAAAGGTTAATCTAATGTTGCAAACTGTTTTCGAGCAGTCCATACAAATGAATTTCAGCAGAGGCGCGTAAAAGGTGGGTGAGGTGTACGAGACACAGGTATGACATGTTTACATGATGGGATCTCGGACATATATTTCCTTAATCATTTTTAATTCCAAAAAAGGGTACACTAGTTTTGATCAAAGATACTCCATCAAACCTACCAATTTACTCAATGTCCCTTATCCAAATGCCGGTTTCTATTGAAGAGACTTCATGAGCTTACGAAGAATTTCATGGAGGATGGTTTTACATAATCCCTTTTAGGAAATGATTATGGCAGTTCAGGATGGAAAATCATGGCATTACAAGATAAGTCGTTGAAAAAAAAAAGGGATGTCAGATGAAGTTAACATGTCTTATGGGGAAGGATCAAGGATCAAAATTTTATTCTAGTGCATGTGGAAGTTCCCCGTGTATCTACATAGATCTCTGGGCTGTGCTTTGTTTTTGTGTCATTTTGTGCACGGGCTGCAACCCCTTCAGTATAATTTTAGCAATGTGTATCCGCTTATCAAAAATCATGTATAAACATCTATAAAGTTCAAGAGAATCGGGGTCAATCAATACTGATGCTTTGCTCGCCGAGGCACTCAGGAAAAGCAAGCTGCAAATAAGGTATCCTGGTGTCTCAGGACAACCCCGACAAGAACTAACTCACGCATCACTTCCTTCATCCAACAATGTCCCCAACTTAAAACAAAAAGGAGTCTTCTTTTGCAATTAGTACAAATGAAAGAGAGCCCCGTTTGAATCCATTCATCTCTAGGATTTGCAAATCTCAAACAGATTCAAAGAAAAAGAAGAGGAGACGATAACAGTAAGAAGTCACACAAGGGCAAGATTGCAGATTGTACTTCCTCAAGAATTTCTTAAAACATTGTGAACATATTTTTTCGCACCCATTAAATGTGATTCTTGACATTCCATTCAAAAAACACTGTAGAGATGCTGACAGTTGTTAATGTATAACGCTGACAGAACTGGTTAGAGTTTGTCAGATGAATATGATGATATTAGGAGATATTCATACCACAGTATACCTTGAGTAGTAGTAGCAAGTATGGATCAACATCCCAATTGGACGAAGTAATCAAGCTACTTGTTGCTTTACATGACAATAGACCTTCGGATTCACCAAGAATCAATGATCTGCTTGCACAGGCTGCTGGGGAAGGATCTTCAATTGGACTACGCAAATTTATTAATTTCTGCAGCGATACTTGACAAAAAACATGAATTAAGAAACAATAGCGTATCATTAAATGAACAATTGAAATAAAATGGAAATGATCAGAAACGATGTCTCATACAAGATCAAACAAATAAAAAGAAGAAAAAAGGTGATAAAAAAAGCTTCAACAAACCAAAAGCTTTTTCAGTTGAACTTTAGCACTGTTAAGCATGTCCAAAGTGGCATTGGTAACCGGTTCAACAGCAGACACACCTCCCAATAAAGATAATACCGCACACTGCCAGAAAAGGTAAGGCAGCTAAGTTAACATATGAGTTTAACATACAGAAGAACACTCTCTCTGAACACCCACGCCAATCCTTTTCTCTTCTAAACCAGATGCATTACCTCATATCTGGAAGCAACTTCATAAAAACGCATGCGATGAAGTATATAAGTTGCAAGTGAAGCAACATCATGACGCTGCTTTTGTAACAACAATTTCAACAATTGATTATAACCTTCACTGACACCAGAAGGTACATTTTCATCTTCACGAGGCCACCAACCTAGGAATCCTTCACAGCCTATCGAATGGCGAGTTGCCTGCTCAACAACTCCAAGTAAAATTAATGTAACAGCAGTAGAATTCTGTGTTCCATGACAAAAAACATATCCAAGCTGCTCCATGCCACCACTGTTGACAAAGTGAAAGCAGCTCTCTCTACCATTGCACAGTAAAAGAACTACACTCAACCACAGAATGACATTCTTACTCTGAAAAGCAAAATAAAACATAAGTAATTGTTACACAGAGGGTATACACATACACACACACACATATATATGTAGATAGAGAGAAAGACAAACAGAGAGAAAATAAATTTTTTACTTCTCTACTACAGCTAGCAAGGCTATGCAACATCTGCCTAAGTACACAGACGAGGAGTGAGAGTAGATAGAGATAGCAAAATGAAACAAAACTCTTACATCTCTGCACAGTTATTGAAGACATACAAGCATCTGCCTAAGAACATAAACAAGGAGAGAGAATTTCTAATCACCTGAGAGAGCTGAGAATGCCCGACAATTACAGAATTACTACTAAAATGGAAGTGTTGGCTTAAAATATCTATCAACTGTTTGGAAGTAGCCAAATCTGTCTCAGATTCAAGATACAGGCTCTCTACCAAGAATTCAGCAGAAGGATTTCCTGTTTCCTGCTGAAGGCTCTTATAGACAACAAGAAGCTCCTTTCTGGCCTCGGTAAGAGCACAATGAGACTCTCCACAGTTGTTCGATCTACCTTCCTCAAATTGTTTCTGACCGATAGCTGCACATTGCAAGCTATGTGTGGCATAAGCAGTGGCTGCTGACACAACAGAACTAGCAACTGTATTGACTGTGTTCCCAAGGTTTGGCAGCTCCAAAATCTTCAATGTTAGCTGTAAGAATTGCTTAACCTCAACAGGAATATCTGGTGCAACTACTTTTAGAGATACTGCATTCAGCGGAAATATGGATTCTTCAATCGTAAGATTAGTTGGATGTAGTGCAGGTGGAAGGTCTTCAAGGTCTCCCTCAATAGCGGTAACACTATTAGTCAAAGAGGTATCCAGATCAACTTCTATGTTGAACTGCCCCAGATCTTCAGCTGTGTTTCCATAAATGACCAAGCTGAGGCTACGGTAGCTACCCCTTACAACCATATGAGTAGTTACTACAGCCTGCAACAAATTAAGTGTATTTCTAAACAAACTTCCCGTATATGACACAGATTTTCCAACAAAAAATATGACAAGAAGCAATTGAAGGAAAACGAGGGGAGAAGCATAGCATTGGACAAAATGTACGACAAAAGTAAGCAACAAACACCTCACCAAATAATTTAAATTACAACCAAAGTAATAAGCTGCAAGGGATAACCAGCGGGAGAAAATGTCTTACAAGTCCAGGTCAGTACTTTCAACCTCTTACCACTAAAGATGTACCACAACTGTGATTATGGAAAAGGTGGACACAAGAGAATTGCCTATATGAGGGAGGGAGTCCTCAATGCATCTATCCCTGACATTTCCAGCCCCGAGAATTGCCTATACGAGGGAGGGAGACCTCAATGCATCTATACCTGGTATTTCAAGCCCCTCAACAACTTTGTACAACTTGAGTCATAGGTTAAACAATGATTGGCATACCATCAGAACAAGAACTGGAATCTTTTTGAGTTTTTACATATGAGGTAAGTCCTTCTGTATTAATCAATATATTTCTCAGGTAAGAGCTCTGAAACACAATTTCCTTACTCAATTCCACAAGTATAACTGACCCACCGAAGCAAAGTTTAAAAACAAATACAAATTAGAAGATGAAAATAATGAAATTGCAAACAGGACAACAACAATATGACAGTATGATGAAGGTAGAGTGGGAAATGAGAACCAACTTCTTATAAAGGCATCCAATCACATGGATGTGTCACCCCAAAAAAATGGTACTGGCAAGTTTTTCGGAAAGTGACTTTGGTACTAGCAACAGAAAAGAAATATAAAAAACTTATTAATGCTTACTTCAACTTCAAGCACATTCGATGAAGAATGAGAATACAAGAAAGGCTGGCATAGCCGCCTAAACCTTGTTTCCCCTTCAGATTGGACAAAAACCTCCAAAGCAAACGAAGGAGGTGAAGTAGCCCTGCACATGGTGCAAAACAAATTAAGACAACCAACCCAGAAAAAGAATCAAACAACAATAAAAAATTAAAAAAAAACCATTAGAGAGGAGATCGACAATATTAGCAGTTATCCACCATGATTCACCATGAGGCAAACTTCAGTGATCTAACATAATGGAGCATGCCTAAAGGAGATCATAAGTTAATTTTGAGAACCCGAAACATGATTGACATTTTCTAACAGCTCACAAAAAAGATACAAGTTATCCACATATACAAAACACACTCAGTAATTTCAATCCCGTAGAACAACTACATATGAACAGTTCTTTGTGACATTTAAGGCAACATAGGTTTGGAAGCTTTCAGAGGCATATAATACATGTAAGTATTTGAAGCTGATATCCTTTCTACCATATGATTAATGAGCTATCAACAATAATGGAAAAAATCCTGAGATCAAGAGTAATGGGAATGAACTATGGCATAGCCAGATAGAAGTTAAGTTACTACTTTCCATCATTTAGGCTTCAGTTTCTATGCAATTTATGCATATTCCTTTGTCTTGCATCATAGTGTATTGGAGAACAGTGTGCTTTATCAATGGATACATGTACATTACATCTTGTTGTTTTTCTCTGTGATAAGCATGTCACTTGGACTTTCTGTCCACCATTGTAATTTTTTTCATAATCTTTTCTTCCTTAATAACATTTTGTTTCTTATCTACAAAAATACATCCACTAGTATGGTCCGGAGAAAGGCAAAACACAATTCACGCAATTAATTCCAAGTAGATTTGTTGAGTTGGATTGAATTCCTACACTAGAGTTAGAATTCTTACAAATGAACTTTATAGTGGGTTTGAAATGGTGTTCAACCACCATGCACGTTAATGATTTGGAAACTAGCTGCTGCAACTGTGCATTTTATATTTTAATCCCATTTTATAGTCTCCACACATCTCAATATTTTAGAGAATTTAGGGAAGTTAGGACGTTGCAGATGTCCAAGACGGACATGACTTCTTCTAAGTCTAGAAGACCAAGGGAAGACAGGACCAGAGCATGTCGCAAAAAGCAGCACACTGGGTGAGCGTGCTTTGACCGTGTCTCTGGGACATGGTTGAATGGAAAGCCTAGAAGGCCCCTCCCAACAAATATATCTGCTATAATAATATAGATAAGTAATAAGTATCCCACAATCTCTGTCAATTGGAGGCTTAATCGTCTGCCAAAAGCGTAGAAATACAAATTAGTGCTCAAATTTTAAAAAATATATATAAATAAAGGTCATCTAGACATATATTCACAGGGTTAGCTTACCAAAAAAACGTTAATCTGCAAGACATCTATGAAGTTTACTAAAAATTTCATAACTGAAGAATTCCAAAAGATAGGAGGGATGAGCTCTGCCTGGGTGATTTGGATGCCTTGAAGAGTTCCAAATGGAATCTCTATGGTGATTTTCTAACACTTTTTTAAAGTAGTTAAAGGAAGATGTTATGCCTGTTATGCATTATTTCCATGTGACATTTGAGTTTAAGAGGAGCATGGCCATTCCACTCATCGTTCCAATTTTTGAACAAGGGAATGTGCTAGACTTCAAAGATGCCGGATCAATCACCTTGGTGGGAAATGTCTAGAAAGTGAAGGCTGAAGTCCTCACTGTTACATCAAAAAAAGTGATTGACACTGTCTTGTTGGATTCTAGCATGCTAGTTGATGAAAGACAGATCTTGCATGAGGTAGTAATAGCTAATGAATCTATAGATGCTAAACAAGATGTCAAAATCATGGGGCTTTCACTGCCTCACATGACTTGTCAAAAAATAACCTCTTTTAAAACAGGCAGAATTGACAGCATTATCAAATTAACATCTAGGGTAACAGTGCATCAATTACATGATAGGAATCGTATTATACAATATCAAATGATATTTTCTTTCATAAATTGCATCGAGTAACATTTTCCCACGTACAACCAAGATAAGAGATTAACAGTCAATAAACCATAGAAAAATCTCAAATATTATTGTAAAAGACATAAGCACTGCTACCCCATGACTGTCACTGCCGGAGAGGCTGATGAAGCATTCTGTTCAAGGAACTCACAAGCAGTGATGACAACAGGTTCAGCAAATATCACCTGGAAAGAAAAATAAGGTGCTAGTGGCATTAAACTACCAAAAATGCATATTAAAACAACTAAAGAAGTAATGAAACTACTCCAAAAACAAAACAACATTGATTATCCCAGTAATACAAACATAATTTGCAGTTTGAAATTAGTAAATATATTTAAATAGACTGGTTAGGATAAATGTGGTTAGATTGTGCGAAAAGCAAAAATAATAAAGCTGTATGTTGTGGGTGATTTGGATGGAGAGATGCTAGAATCTTTGAGAATAAGTGCGAGGTGGAAGAGGGTTTATGGAACCGCATCCATTTCCTTGCTTCTTTTTGGGCGTCAATCTCCGAGGAGTTTGACAACATTGCTCTCCTTGGCATGTTGGCAAGTTGGCAAGTTGGCAAGCTGTTTGTGTCTGACTGTTTTGACTGTAGTGATTTAGGCTTGATGCCTTAGCTGGGACTATTTTGTTTTGTTTAGTTTAAGGTTTGGACTACTTGTCCAACCTTAATCTTTCTCTTGTACTATCCTTTTGTTATTTTTAATAAAATTTTGTTACTTATCAACAAAAAAAATAAATAAATAAAGCCATATGTTGTCATCCCCAAAACATGGCAAGGACAACTGTCCAAAAAATGCAACTTTCTTAATATGCATATACTCCAACCAGAACTAGGTTCCATAATTTCCTTGCTTCTTACCAAAGCCAGGCCATACATTACACCAGACTAGGGTTTAAGTTCCCTGGAAGACTCAAACACCATCTCCTCACCTCTAAATTGCAAAGCCCAAACTAGTGTCCCACTTGACAACACAAAAAGGTAATTAGATTGAAAATATCACACAAAATAGCCAAAGAAGTTGTGCAGAGAATAGAACTGACAGAGTAGCAACACTCAAGACAAAGAAGTGTGATGCAAGGCAAATGCCGAACTACAACTGATCATGTAAGCAACAACGAAAACAAAATTTTGACGTAAAAGGAATAAACAGATAATAAAAGAGGGGAAGTTGCACCACTTGCAATGTATGCCAGGTAATAGACATACTCATTCTTAATACAGATGCTACATATAATAAACACTTCACAAAAGACAAAGCATATGGATCAATTGCCACTTCAAAGTCTGTAAAGCACACACCTTAAAAGCTTAACAGTAATTCAACTTATTTATCAAACTTCAAAACCTAAAGGGAAATTTATAATACAAAGTAACTCAAACAACGTAACCCGAAAAACTTGGGTTTTTCTTCTACAATGGGCAATTAGCACTGAATTCTATTCATTCAAAAGTCTGATGAAATTCCCAAACATTTGCGAATATAAAAAGAAAAACAAATCAAATAATATCCAGAATTACTACCATCACATCGATTGCATTATTCCCCTGACATTATTTTCACCGACTAAACTGACAACTTTACAAACCAACACTCACAATCCAAAAGCAAAATTAACTGGAGTTTAGAAACCAATTAATTGCACATAAAATTTTCAAAACAAAAATAACTTTCAGGTCAAATTTGAGCGTACCTCGTCCACATACTCGTCGAGTTGGGGGTGAACGAAGTTCTGAGCGAACAACACACAAGGCTCTGGACGACCCATCTTTGTGATATCTTTCTCTATTTCTCTCTCTGCACACACGGGAAGAAAGAGAGAGAGAGATAGAAGGGAGAATTTATTTTCTCTGTGAATTGAATCTGTTGTGTTTTAGGGTTTTACATAGCAGAGGAAGGGGATGATGCAGAAGCCAAGTTGGAGAAATCTGATTAAACCCAGAATCTAGTTTGAATTATAAATATGAGGAGAAGAAAGCGGTGCGGGTCGCCGCCCACATAAGTGGATCCCCAGTCAGAGTTTTTCTTTTCTTTTGTTTTTCTTTTTTTTAACAGGACAGACAGTTTAAAATCCTTATTTTTTTTAAAGATAAACTTTAAATTTTGCCACCTACTTTACAGTAATCCCATAACTTTTTATTTGTCCTTCAACTATCAATTTCATACAAGTAAAACATTTTTATCCATTTCACTCATCTGAACAAATAGAGGAGCAATGCTATAAAATTTAAAAAATTGTAACACAAATACATATCATTTTTTAGATGAGTGAATTCCATCAATTTTTTCGGTGGAGACCCACTCATTTCACACTCATCTAAGGGGTGATATACATTTTAATTTTAACTTTTGAGTTTCATTTGGGGTTAATGTAATATTATCCCAAATTGAGATATATGACATGGACATTCACATGTCAAACGTATGGGCTTATCTCAGTCTTTTCTTTTCTTTTATCCTGTCCTGTTCAATTTATTTTTCTTATTTTTTTAAAAAATAAACTTTAAATTTTACCTCATATTTTAAAATAATCCCATAACTTCTTATTAGTCTCTCAAGTATCAATTTTGTACGAGTAAAACATTTTTTGTCCATTTAACTCATCTAAACAAATAGTTGGTCTCAAATACATATCATTCTTTAGATTAGTGGGTCTCATCAATTTTTTCAGTGGAACTCATTTGTCCCACACTCACCAAAAGGATAATATGAATTTAAATTTTATCTTTTAAGTTTCATTTAGATTATGTAGTATTTTTCGAAATGGAGATACATGACGTGGATAGTCACATGGCAAACGTAAGGGCTTGTCTCAGTCTGTAAAATAACTTTATTGATACGAAATTAATAGTTGAGATGCTAAATTAATATGATTAAAAATTCAAAATTTATTTTAAAATAAGAGGCAAAATTTAAGAACTAAAAGCAACTCCAAAGAGAGTTGCAATTTTGAGGTGCCAAATCACCCATTTGTAACCTTGAATAGTGTTTTGGCATCTCTGAATTATATATCTACTCCAATAGTTGGTGCCAAAATGAGGTGTCATTTTAATATTTTTTATTGTTACCAAAATATTTTAGTATATTTTAACGGGTATAGTTTATTAAAAAAATATAATTAAATTCATTTGCAACCTCTCCATTTCTCTCTCTAGAGTTGACAAAATTGTCACTCCTAATGTGTTGATGTCATTTTCTAACCCTTAATGTCATCCCCGTTGGAGTGAAAAATTTTAAATTTGAGTTGACATTTTGGCAGTTATAGAGTTGTCACCACTGATACCACTCCCTTTGGAGTTGCTCTAATTGTGATATTCTATATATTATGAATAATTCTTGATCCATTACTAATAGTCTTTGGATTAGTTCAAATAATTTTTGAAAACCCTATGTTTGAGAATTTTCATGTATATATTTTAGTTGTTAACAGGGATAAGTCCTAGATTGACAATTATCATTAGTTCATTTAATTTATAAAACTCAAAGATATTTCTATAATTTACTATACGTAATTATCTAACACCAAAAAACTATTCACACTAATATTTGTTGCCATGGTGCAAGCTTTTATCACGCAATGTCTTGTCTGGCTTTCCCTCTAAAGTTATATGATAAATTCACAACTTATCTGAAGCGATTTTGGTGGGGGGGGGGGGGGGGGGGGAATAGTGAAACTGGTGGAATTTGATGGAGGTAATGGGAGGACATGACTCTGCCGAAAGCTTTGTTTTGGGGGGAGGGGAGGAGGGGGGAATTGGGCTCCGTGATCTTCGTTGTTTCAACCAAGCGCTCCTTGCCAAGCAATGCTGGTGTCTGGGCCAGAATCCATATTTATATTGGGCTTGTATCCTAGAGTCGATCTATTTTCTCAATGCTGAAATTATGGAGGTGAAAAAGTGTGTTAGGCCTTCCTGGATGTTCTTTCCAAGGGAATTAGGTGGGAGGTATGCAAAGGAGATAACATCAAGATGTTGGAAGACACATGGATTCCCACATTACCACACCACTCTCTTACCTCAGTTAAGCCTCAAGATTGTGATCTGGTTTTGGTAATAGATGTTATCCATCAAAGTTCTAAGGAGTGGAATGAAACTCTTCTCATACACTTGGTTTCAGAGGAAAAACTAAGGGCCATCAAAATCATCCCAATTTTCCAAGGTTGTTGGGGAGGATAAAATCGTTTGGCATAATCATTCTCAAGGCATCTTCACAGTTAAGTCGGGGTATGCTCTAGCCCGAGCAGAAATGCAATCTTATCAGCAAATGCTGGGCAGCACCTTCACCTCATCTCACCCCAAATTATGGCGCACAATCTGGCAACTCAAAACCCCTCCTAAAGTGAAGTACTTTTGGTGGAGAGCATGCCATAACGCAGTTGCTACACAGGAAAATTTATTCAATAGGAAGTGTGGGTTTTCCTCCAGATGCAAAATCTGCACAGAGCATATAGAATCCACATAAGACACGCTGCTTGGCTGTCCAAGGACATATAGAGCATGATTTGGAATGGATCTCGGTCAATGGACCTCCAATTTTCTGGCCTCTAGCATTAACACTAGACCTGCAATTGAAATCCTCAGCAAAGTTGTTCAGGTAGGTTGGTCCATTTGGAAATCAAGAAATGAAGATGTCTTCCAATCTATGAACCCAATCCTGTAGCGACATTGCTAAGGGCGCAATTTAACTAGGGAGAATTCAACTCATTGCAGCAGATGCACCAGGAAAATCCCAGCCAAATATCAGAGGTCCCCTCCACTCACTCACTTTGGCAACCACCACCCCAAAATCATGTTAAGTTTAACTGTGATGGAGCCTTTTTGGCCAACTCAAAGGACGAAAGTTGTGGTATTGTGCTCATAAATGCTGCAGGGAAGTTATTAGATGGTAAAACTAAATGCATCCCTGCAGTTTCAAGCCTCTACTCTGAAGCTGCTACTGTTCACGAAGTATGCCTTATGGCAGAGAATTTGCAATTAACTGGCGCAAGTGTGGAAAGCGATAACCAGACAGTTATCCAACTCTGCACAGGGGAAGATGTACCCCCATAAGAAATAGATGCATTTGTCGAAGATATCAAGGCCATTGCAAACTCGCTCACTCCCACTCTCTCTTTCAAGTGTCCAAGTTAAAACAAAGTTGTTCACTGGGCCGCTAAGATTAGTTTTTCTTGCTCTTTACCATTAAATTGAGTTTCGAACCCACCAAGTGAGTTGATGACATTACTTCCGGTGGATTGTAATCCTCCTTCTGATTTTAATGATGATTTTCACTTTCTTGTTCAAAAAAAAAAGTACAAAATGTAGTTTTGGGGCACGACTTCAATTGAGCCAATTTGTATAACAACAAAGAGAGATAAAAAAAATCAATTCTTTTGAATTCTCTCGGTACGTTTTTTTATGGGTTAATTGTAAATTACACTCCAAAAGATTGTTTGAATTTTAATTTGTACCCTTAAAGATCAAAAATCTCATTTTGTACCCTCAAAGATAGAAATTTATATCAATGTGCACCTCAAAGATCAAAAATCTCAATTTATACCCTCAAAGATGAAAATTTATATTAATGTACACCTAAAACTAACCGCCGTCAGTTTGTTGCCTAAAATTAAATTGATAAATTATAACTAGATCCCTCATACTTGTCATTTAATCATTTGAAGCCCTTCACAAAACAAAGGATAGTATGGAATTATAATTTTTTATTAGAATAAAATCATATTTTTTAACGGTTATAAAATCCTAAAAAAAATACTCGCAATCTAAAATGTCCCCCCAATTGGACATTCAAATAATTATGTTTAAGTGATATATTGCATTGGATATAAAAAATATTATATAAATACATACATTCTATTGGACATTTAAATTGTAACTTTGATTTTGAACTTTAGAGTATATCGAACCCATAAAATAAAGGGTAATATAAAATTTTAATTTTTTATGAGGATAAAATCATATTTTTTAAACAACTATATTAACATATATCAATGAAAAAGAATTACGTGTTACACGTGCACTAATGTCATGAGATGTAGGAGTAATATTCTAAATATTAAGGGGTCCAAATGATTAAGTGACAAGTATGAGGGGATCTAGGTATAATTTATCAATTTAATTTTAGGCAATAAATTGACTGCGGTTAGTTTTAAGTGCACAGTAATATAAATTTCTATATTTGAGGTGCAAATTAAAATTTTTGATCTTTAGGGATGCACATTGATATAAATTTCTATCTTTGAGGGTATAAATTAAGATTTTTTATTTTTGGAGGCGTAAATTAAATTTGAATAATTTTTAAAGGTACAATTTATAATTAACCCTTTTTTTTATTATTATGAGATCACCAATCATAAATTCAAATAATTTCTCCTATGTATAAGCTTGTTCACACCGATGCATGAGGCTGGTCCACCATTAAAAAAAAATGGAGGAATGTTGATACCATAATTTTTTGGTTTGCCAAGCTTGTGGACCCTCTGCTGAGATCCAAAGTATGAAGCAATTTTATTACAAATTATATCAAGCCATGAATATATCTATAATTTATTCGTACGTGTCCAAATAATGTTCATAACGTGTCTATTGTCGTTTAAGCGTAGAATTATATTAAAGTAATATGATGGTCACCAAAACACATGCGTGAATAATGCTTAAAATAAAGAGTAATGTTATTTAGATTTAACGGAATTATTAGATCAACACTAAATTCTACTGTTTAATGGAGCATATAGTTAATCTAAATGTCATAATGAATTATGTTAGTAAATTAGGTTCAAATGAGATTGCTCTAATATAAACATATGCAAACATATATTATATGTATAGTTTTTTTAAAAATGTTTGAGAGTGGGCCAAGGGTGGTGGCATGGACCAGAGTCGGAGCCACATGGGGACCAGGGTGGTCATTCCCCCCCCCCCCCCCCGCAACTTTTTTTGGACCACCCTTGATAAGGACTCATAAAATTATTTAATACACTATATTTGTCCTTCCTAAATTTTTGAAAATTTCAATAATGGATCTAGTATTTTCTTTTTTCAGTAAATTAGTGGTCCATTAATCCTTTAAAAAAATATTTTATTTTTAGATTGAGTAAATTAGATGTAACACTCTTGATGTATTTGTATATTGACCAAAAAATAATATTTCTCTATTATATAACACTATATTCGTTACTTTTTAACAACAATTTTTCGGTTTGTTTGGTTTGCGTTTCAAAAAATAGTATCCGAAAACAGTTTTTGATAAGAGTTTTAAGAAAGTGGTTTTGATATTTTTTGAGATAAAAAACTTGTTTAGTTAGATGATTTCAAAAACAATTTTACAATACAGAAAATAGTAAAATCTGTTTGGACAGCCTAAATATATATTTGAACAATAATTCAAACATTAATAAAAAAAAATATAAAAAAGTTATTTTTAGATTTACAATTTCATAAAAAAAAAATTCAATAAACCAAAATTTAAAATATATATATACCCCTCACATAAAATATATATATATATATATATATATATGTTTTTATATATACATGTATAAATATACGTATATATATATTTAAATACGTATAAATAAATATATATATATATATATACGTTTTTATATATACATGTATAAATATATGTATATATATATATATTTAAATACGTATAACTATATATATATATATATATCTGAAGATCTAAAATTGTTCTCCTTGTTTCTAAAATTTTCAAAGAAAAATTTGAAAACAAGCTATACTTGTTTTCTGTTTCTTTGACTCAAATCTCATTTTTTTTCCCAAAATTTAGAGAACAAAAAATGCTAAGCAAACAGATTTTGAGTGTTTTTGAAATTTTGAGAACAAAAAACTGTTTCCGAGATAATAATCAAACACGGCCTTTAGTTTTCATTTATCATTTTTTTAGCAATAATAGAACCAAATAAAATACAATTGTATGCAAAAGATAAAAAGTTGTAACCTGAAAATATTTCAAGTTATTTTGAATGAAGAATTTCTCTATAAGATCGATAATGATCTCAACTATTTTTTGTAACTAAATGAAGAATGATTTTACTACAAATTTATGATTGTGTGCATTAATAAAAAATTAGTAAAAAATTAATTTAAATTTAATTAATATACAAAATTTTAGAGATTTTACATAATGTAATATTTTATTGAAATATATAATTGTATTAAAATATAGTAAAAAAATTATTTTGTGTGATTTTGTTCAAATTTGGTTTCCACTAAATAAAAATTGAATTTATTATTTCACTATAATTGTGTCTTGAATCTTAATTTTTGTCGCTATTGCATTTAATTTTTTTGTATTAACTAATCAATTATATTTTGCCCACAAATATATTTTTAGCTCCGTCCCTGCCGCCGACTCGGGGCATAGGGGGTGGTAGGGATACCTTGCCAAGCTTGCAGTTTGCGAATTATTGAACAGACTCTCGAATTGAAATTAGACACGGCCACATTGAAACATCCCCTGGAATCACCAAAATTGTACCCGTGCATTCAAGTTATGGTTTTTTCTTATCAGTAATGCTAGCATTATTGTTTTCTTATTGGGTTTATTTTATTTCTCATTCTTTTCTTCCTTTTTGTTCTTTATTCCTCATTTCCTTTCAAGAAAATCATATCAGATATCCTAAAATCCTCTAACCATGACAACTACCAACATGCATGGTTAAATACATTTAAAAATTTTATGTTGTTTGGGACAAGAAGTAGGAGTCTTTACACAGTGCTGCAACTCTATTGTGACGTGTGCGTCATAAGTTCGAGACACGAAAATAAATTCTCTGTACGTAAAGATAAAGTTGTTTATATCTGACTTTCAAAGGCTAGACAGTGGTGATAAGATTGTGTCGTGGATTGTTGTTGTTTATGATTTTATTTAAGAGTTCCGGACTAAAGTGTATAAAAGAAATATGCCAGATGTATAAAAGACTTAGCAGGAGCTCAGGTGATGTAGAATTCGAAAACTTCCCAAGGTACAATCCCTTAGAGTGATACCAAACTCCATATTCTCATGATTTGGCAGATTTGCAAACAACCCATGCATGTAAATGTGAAAAACAAAGGTAGAGACTTACATCTTCCAAGCAGAACTTTGTTGGAAAGGGAGCAATTTCTTTCCCTTACTCAACTAGAATAGATAGAGTCTGGAAGTGAATGTTGTGTCTTAAAGGGAAGCAGTTATATTATCTCCTAGCTACATTCCACTAGCTACTATGATTAGATCTAATTAGTTCTGTTATGTCCTTGTTTTCTTCTTTCCTGTTAGCTCTTACCATGAAAAGGATAAGCATTGTATGGTGGGGACTTTTGGCTACTTTGGCTTCAGAATATCTAAGCAGTGGAAAAGCCAGTAAACAATCAGATATGTTTAGCTTTGGAGTAGTAGCTTTGGAAATCGCTTGTGGGAGAAGGACTTATCAGGGTGGGGATCTTCAAGTGCCACTGGCGAGTTGGGTTTGGCAACTCTTCCAAGTAGGAAATATTCTTGATGCAGCTGATAGTCGATTGCATACAAGCTTCGATGTGAATCAAATGGAATGCCTGATGATGGTGAGCTTGTGGTGCGCACACCTGATTTATAAAAAAAAAGATCAATTAAACGACAATTTCCTATAAAAAAAAATACGAAATCTCAAGTTTTGAGCAGTTCTACATCATATACACTAGCAATTAATGCAAATGATGCATGATCTTAAATTGTGAAGATACCTTATCTACCTACGACATGGTACAGTAACATGGGACTTTGACAGAGAGTACCATCGATTTTTTCTAGGTATAAGTGTGTTCCCACCAATGCATGAGGGGTGGTCCACCATTGAAAAAAAAATGCAAAAAATAAAACAAATAAAAATTGGAGGAATGGGGATACAACAATATTGGAGTTCACTGTCAATCCAATGATTATGAATAATTAGGTTAACAAATTAGATCAATAAATTAAGTCTAAGTAATAATACTCTTTTTTTATTGTTGATTCTTAGAGATTAATTTTATATGGCCCATATTATTTTTTTATAGGCAATTTTGGAACTATATAAAAATTTAGACTTATTTGAGTTAAACTACCTAAGTATATTTTTTTGAAAAAAGACTAAAATGATATTTATTACTTCATTATTCTCTCTCCATTACTCTTTCACTCTCTTTTCCCTATTTTCTCTCTATCTATCTCTCATACTGATAATTTTTTTTAATATGTAAAAATTTGATTTAATTTTTCTTTTTTTCTCTCTCCTTATATCAACGTTACACAACACAATTACATTAATTAGTTACATCAATTAGTCACAATTACCCTATAATACACTAAACAGTTACTCATGTGTTTTAATAAACCAAACAATTATAGTAAATAATTACATGAAATTATAACACCAACCCAATTTGTCATTTTGCTATTTACATAAATGAAAGAGTTATACCATTTAGTGTCAAGACATAGTTACACCAATTATATACACCAAAATTGGGTTTATCATTACACAAAAGACTTTATTATATTAAATTTAATATATATGATTGGTGTAATGATATTGCGATACTAATTAGTGCAATTATTTAGTTTATGTAAACAACTGAATGAAAATGGGTTGTTGTTGTAAATTTGTGTAATTGTTTGTTATAACTGTTTAGTTTATTAAAATGCATGAGTAACTGTTTGGTGTATTATAAGACAATTGTAACTGATTAGTATAATTGTGTTGTTATAATGTTAATATAAATAGAGAGAAAAAAATAGGGAGAGAGAGAAATGGTTAGAGAAAAAAGGGGGGGAGAGAGAAAATAGAGGAGAGATGAAAAAATAATTCAAATTTTTACATATTTGAAATTTTTTTTTATCAATGATAGATATAGAGAGAAAATAGGGGAGAGATGGGGAAAGTTATGGGGAAAGAGAGAGAGATTGAGAGAAAATAGGGAATAGATAGTGATAGAGTCTAATAAAATCTTTTCACATTTGATTAGATATATAACTGTCAATCAAGAATGCATAATTTGAAGGAGAGTATTTAGGTAAAATAGTTTTGATTTCATTTGAATTTTGTACCTAAACACAATATATTTTATTAAAATTAAACTTAATAGAATAAATAACTTATCTATACACTTTTCAACAAACAAGTCTAAAAAATTGCACCTACGGCCAAAAATATCCATTTTTAATTCAAAGTATCCAACAAATTTGTTCTCCTATACATGATTGGCCAAAAAGTGGACCAAATTTTGTTTTATGGACTTTTTGGAGGCCGGTCCCTTATAGTGATCTTTTTGACCATGAAGTTCAGACGTCATTCTTTCGGGTCATCGAGGACAATTGTTGTGACAACTATCATTTTACCTTTAATGACATGATTAGCGATATTACAAAATGGACACCGACAATAACAAAGTGACAATAATAATGATAATGTCATTGTCTAAATTCCATGAAACTAGACAGTGATAATAATAGTGACAATAAATTTTTATGGTCGTGTCTGTGATCTCTCGTCTAGAAGATCACAAGATCTGATCCATTGTACTCTCTCTCTCTATCTATGGTGCCACTGGAGGAGCAGGAGGCGCGTGATCAGAAGCCTTGGGCAGCAGAGAAGGGCGTGATCAGAAGCCTTGGGCAGCAGAGAAGGGCGTGATTTGCTGGAGAACAGAATATAGAAAAAAAAAAGGAAAAAAAGTAGACTATTTGACCTATTTACCAAAAATTACACATAACCTGTCATTAAAAACTCAATAAGTATGCATCTATACTTATTAATAAAAAAAAAATTCATATTATACTTAGTTTCAATTTTTACTTGTTTTTTAAGTCATTAGGATGGGCCTAGTTGAGGGTATGCAAAAAATTATACAAAATATATACATGTAATTTTTATTTTCACGGTGGGCACTGCCGTCCTGGCCACTTGCTTCCTCCGCCTCCGTATGCATCACCAAGCCACTTTTACACGTTCCCATTCATCATTTTTCACTTACAAACAAGAAAGAAAGAGTGTTTTTGTCCATTCTTCAAGGGGTTTTCCATTCATCATTTTTCACTTACAAACAAGAAAGAAAGAGTGTTTTTGTTCATTCTTCCATGGGTTTTCCCTTCATCATTTTCACTTACAAACAAGAAAGAAAGTGTGGTTTTGTCCATTCTTCCATGGGTTTCATCGATCTTAGAAGAAACCCTTGCATCAAAAAGAAACCCATGTTCATGTTAAATACATACTGGTAAATTTATTCTTCAATTTACACCAACTTCATATCCTATCCTGCTTTTCATGCCAATTGCGTCAAAAAGATTCAAGAAAAGTAGAGTTACTGCCTTTTCTTTTATTGTCATGCACAGATATATGGTGGTTTTTGTTCCTCTCTTCATTTTATTTCATTTGGTTCACAGCTTTGCTGACCAAATCTCCTTCAACATTACTCGTTTCGATGAAGGAACAGGCAACATCAACTACAAGGGTGATGCAAAACAAATAGATGGAGTTATTGACCTAAATCGAGTTGATGCTTCGTACCGTGTTGGCGTGGCTACTTTTGCAAAGCCTATACATTTATGGGACTCCTCATCAGGGATGCTTGCAAACTTCACTACCAATTTCTCATTCACAATATATTTTCCTCACCCTCGCTGTGGCACTGGTCTTGCTTTCTTCATTGCTCCTGTTGACTTTCAAATTCCACCTAATTCAGTTGGTGGATACTATGGCCTGTTCAATGGCACATCAAATCATGACCCACCCCAGATTGTGATGGTTGAATTCGATACCTTTCCCAACCCAGGGTGGGATCCCCCTATGCAACATGTTGGGATCAACAATAATTCGATCGTTTCAGCTGTCTATGCCAATTGGAGTGCAAGTACTGTTGGGTTTCCCTCCTTTGTGGGACTCATCAATTTGCTAATTTTTTGGTGGCTTACCCGTGTATGACTCTTATCCAAGACTTGGTTTGGAGTCTTCAAGTTAAAAGGAATTTGGCAGCCACCAAAGACTATAAGTTTTGTCCTTTTCTTTGGTTCATCTCTTCTCTGTTGGTTTGGCAAGAAGACATATTTTCGGCAGTCTTTGGTTCAACAAAAATTCAGCCTTCTTCTTCTCCTTTTTGGTGCCAGAAAAATCTGCAAATTTGTTCTTCAAGTGGGTAACATTTCTTCACTTGATATTTGGGTTTCTTGCGGTTTGTTCTTGGAGATTTGGTTCACTTATTTTGTGAGGTATTTTCCTCTTGTGATTTACACCTTGGTGTGTTTGTAAGGCTTATGCCTTTTGGCCACTTTGTAATCTGATTTGGTGATAGTGGAAGAAACTGACCTACCGGTTGTCGTGGATGTACCTCAAGTTATTTGAGGGAACCACGTAAATCTTGTGTGCTTATTTATTTTCTGTTATTCTATTTATATTGCTTCCATTGATTTACACTTGTGGGAAAGCCTATTTTCCCAACAAGTACATGGGCTCAAAAGAACGTTAATGTTCAAATTACGTACAGTGCTACTAGCAAAAACCTCAGTGTGCACTGGTCATACAATGAGAACTCATCTTTTATCAATGGTTCCTCTATTTCTTACCATATAGATTTGAGGCACGCAGTCACTGACTGGGTCATAATAGGGTTTGGAGCATCTACAAAAACAGCCAAAGAACGGAACACCATGATTTAAAGAAGCCGAAAGAGAAGATACGTTGGAAAGTGATTGCTTTCATGTGTTCCTTATCGATTGTTGGCATTGGCGTCGTTTGGTTTTTGTTGGTGAAGATATCAGTAAAAGAAGTAGAAAATGGTACAGGAACATTCACAATGAAAAATGTTGAAAAAGGAAATTTTCCGAGAAAATTCTCATATCGAGAATTAGATTGAGCAACGAATAAATTTGCCAGTGATAGAAGGCTAGGACAAGGAGGTTCCGGGCAAGTCTACAAAGCAGCCTTGAGTGACTTGGACCGTATAGTTGCTGTCAAGAGGATTTATGTAGTCGACCCTGAAACGGCTGAGAGGTTTTTTACCAATGAAATGAAGATTATTAGCTGTCTAATACATAAAAACTTAGTGAGATTCATTGGCTGGTGCCATGAAAAAGGCAAGTTATTACTGGTCTATGATTACATGGAAAATGGAAGCCTTGATGATCATCTTTTTGGCAATAGAAGCTATCTCTCATGGAACATCAGATACAACATAGCTATAGGAATGGCTTCAACAGTACAGTATCTCCACGAGCAATCAGAGCTATGCGTTCTGCATAGAGATATTAAGCCAACAAACGTGTTGTTGGATAAAGAATTTTGCCCCAAGCTTGCTGATTTTGGGATGGCGAAGATGGTGGACCCTCGGGTGAGGGGTCAAACCACAGGTGTGGTGGGGACTTTTGGCTACTTGGCTCCAGAATATCTAAGTAGTGGAAAAGCCAGTAAAGAATCAGATATGTTTAGCTTTGGAGTAGTGGCTTTGGATATCGCTTGTGGGAGGAGGATTTACCAGGATGGGGATTTTTATGTGCCACTGGCAAGTTGGGTTTGGCAACTCTACCAGGTAGGAAATATTCTTGATGCAGCTGATAGTCAATTGAATGCGAGCTTCGATGTGAATCAAATGGAATGCCTAATGATGGTGGGCTTGTGGTGCACACACCCAATTGACAAGGCTAGGCCTTCTGCTGGAGAAGTTATTCAGGCTCTTAAGTTTGGAGCACCAGTGCCAAAACTTCCTGAGAGGATGAATGATCAAATGTTTCAGTTTAGTTGAGACTCCGCCCCTTCTTCTTCAGTAAAGCCAACCCTTTATGTTGATTACGCCAAACATTGCTTATTATAGGCTCTTAGCAAAAACCCCTCTTTAGTTTTCATCTCATTTATCGTCTGATATCTTCAACATCATCTCAACTGTATATATTCCTCTTCCCTTGCGAATGCAGGGATTGATTTCAATCAGCTCAAGGGTTAGAATCAGTTCAACACTGCATTCCTTGCCAGGCTAGATCTTCAAAGAAGGTCATCTTTGGCTATTGCTTCAATCTCAAGATCGATTCAGTGACAGTTTCTGTGCGTGCTAGATCTTGCACAATATAAATACGAGAACAGATCTCTCCCTTGGTGAACTCGAGTGAGTCAGTCGAGTGGTCAACCCTACTGCTTGGAACAGTCTGTGAGGTCCGGTGGTAACCTGGAACGATAATGGGAGACCCTCATGGATCAACGGAACGATCCAGTAAGGCTGAGGAAAGTTCCTGGAACAAAGAAAGACAAGTTAGAAGGGCGCCGGGGTGTTTTTCGGCGTATCCCCTCCGACGATCAAGTCAGTTTTTGAGATAGAGGAAGAAGAAAACACTGAGTATAATTTGTAGCAAAGGTTTCACCCCGTTCTCTTGTCTTTTGTGAGGAGTATTTATACCTCAAATACTCATGATTGCTGTCAGTGTGGTCAGTAGGTGATCATTAGATACAGGCAACGTGCGCACTGATTCTTATGAGGAATGTCTTCTCTTTTAACTGCTCGGGATCCCGAGCAACCAAGGCTTATGTCATCGGCCTGCCGACTGTTTAATGAGCTCCTCTCGGCAAGGATGTGTCTAGCCTTAGAGACATTTATTACCTTTCACTTCCGAGCCTTACCGCATTAAATGATGTCTCATCAAGGGAATGGTGTAATTAAATACTTGCTTTCCCAAGTCGTGTGTCAGTAAGGGCATCCGGTCTTTCTGTCTCTAATGTGACACAATATGCCACGTGTCCATTCCCCATTGGCTGTGTCCCCTGCCTTCTTGTGCCTTCTGACACCAATTGTGTAAGACGAGGTCATGATAGCTAACCTAGCCTAGCCTAGGCTAGTGATCTATACATCAATAGCCTCTGCAAGAACAGAGAACGCCATCCTGGACGGAGATACATCTCGGTACCGAGGGGGATTGGTACATGTAGGACCAATGTACCCTATCCGACCCCGAGGGATACGTGTCGGTATGTAAACGTACTGGATGTTATTGATCCCTATGAACAGTACCTCGGGGGAACAGGGACTTGTGATCCGACGGGTACGTGTCACGTTTATAGGAGAAGAACTTAGTGATGCCGAGGACACGTGTCTTCATTTTGGAGTACTTGGAAATGTCCCATCAACTGCCCCCAGCCTTCGATCTCCTAACACCGAGGACACGCGTCGTAAGGAGACGAAGGGTTCTGCAATTACCCCAACTACTTCATCATTGCCTTCAGCCGCTTTCCCTTGTTTCGGAGGTCGTGCGTATTAAATGCGCCTCTTCGTGCTTCGTGCCCAAATGATGGGGAGGAGTACTATATAAATGGGCTTCCTCTCTCCCCCTCTCACTTTGCCATTTTCAGAGAGTCATTGCCTGAAACCTCGCCGGAGATCCCTTTCCTTTCGTCGTCTACTGTCCAATCGTTCACGAAGTCTTTAAGGCTAGCAGACCCCATCCTTGCTTCTGACCATTCTGGAGGAAGGAGTCGCTTCAAGTTTCAAGAAAAAACTTTCATTTACGTTATGGTGAGTCCTTGTATCTGCCCTTTCTTTGCCCTCCGTCTCTTATCTTCTTCTCGTTTTTTCTTTCTTCTTTTTGGTTTTTCGATAACTGGAGGCGTTTCTGGCTGCTACTCAGCGACCAATCCTCGGGAAGCCTCCTTGGGGATCTTCGTGAAAAAACCCCCCTCCTTATTCACTGTTTATCACTTTTTGGAGATGCCTCGTCGTCGCCCTGCCCCCGAGAATCCTCAGGCCAGTTCTTCAAGGCCAGGGAAGTATAAAGTAAAAGGGGGTGAGCAAATTAATAGTTTTAGGGTCAAGTACAACATCCCCCCATACATAGACATAAAGGATTATGACTCGGCTGTGCATTCCTGTACCCTCGGGGTCGAGGATGAGATGCCCTTCTATACCAAAGCCGTCATAGAGGGTGGAATTAGGTTCCCTCTGTCCCCTCTACTCCTCCAGTTCCTCTCCCATTTCCATCTCTTCCCCGGGTAGTATTGTCTTAATGTCTTTAGAATAATTATGAGAGTCCTAGAGCTCAACAAGCGTCTCGGGGTAAATGTTGGGCTGAACGATATCCTCTTTTGCTACTCCCTCTTGAGAGTCATGCCCTAACAAAAACTTCTACCTCAAAGCCAGGGACCCATCCATGTACGTCGTAACTCATCTTCCCGACTCGGACAAGGGGTACAAGGATGACTTACTCATCTTCAAGGGAACTTGGCAGAGGGGTGCCGGTCCCGAGTACAACGACTTATTATGCCCATTGGAATGGAGAACGACAAGTACGTCGGCTTCTTCAGGTCTATTGTTTTGCTCTTGAGATTTTTTAGCAGAGTCCATAATTCACTTCCCTCTCTTTTTGTTTGTGTGCAGACATTTTTCCTTGGGAAACAGCTCCTCCACCTTGGTCCTTGGTGAACTTTGCCGACCTAGTCACTGTTTTGAGATTTACTGGTGACGACGGGTTCGATCGGGCTGCCCACATTCTCCTAAATTATACTCCCGGATATAAAAAGTTTTCACAGCTTCCCCAGCCTTTCGAGCCTTCTCGGGGGTTTGAACTCTTCGATCAGGCGGTGAGGTAAGAGGACGAGGAGAACTTGGAGAAAGACCTTGACCGGGCTTTGGAGGCAGAAGTAGAGGGTGAAGTTGAAGAGCTCGGGGTCAGAGAGGACTTGGTTCCTTTGCACGCCGAGGTGGGGACTTCAAGGAGAGATTCGTGGTCGAACTTCCAAATCCTACAATCTCTAGACGCCCTCGAGATAGCTATGTCCAGCACGCCCCGCATTGATTTGGGATTCCTGAGGTAGAGGCAAGCCCTCGCTGCTAGGCGTGGGCGTGGGTCAACAAGCGGCCCCCCACCTACAGGGACTAGCGCCACTGCACCTTCAAGGGCCGTTTGTCGGGGCCAAGTGCGCGACCAAGATCCTCAGGTCGAGATGGAGAGGAGTATTAAACAAAGGCACGATGGCCTGGGCAGGGAATCCAGGGCTCCCTCCGCTTAGTAGCAAAGCGGGAGAGGCCGTGAGTTACCTTCTCCTCCACAACATCAACAGCAGCAGCAGAGGCAATAATAGCAACAGCAGCAGGAGTAGACTCCTCCTCCGCTTCCTCAGACGGTGGAAGCCGCGGAGTGGAATCCTCGGGCGATCGATCACATGAACCGAGTGATCAGGGTTGACGACTCCATTTTGCAAGACCCCCATGTTGCCAACGCAGTGGGTGAAACGTTGCACTTCAAGGCTGACATGGTGGCTCACAGGAGGAGATCAACTAACGTGTTGTTTCGCTCTATCATCCAGAATTCCCTGGTGGTAAGTTTATTCTTGCTTCAGCCTTTCTACCCGCTTCCCTTTTTATCGACATGCACTTTCCTTTGTAGGCCACCCAACAAATTTCTATAATAGCGGCGCGGTATCATGGGGTTAGGATGGATCTCTAGCGGGCTCGAGAGCAGAAGGAAGAAGCTGAGGGAGCCCTCGCCAGTGCTAAGGAGGACATAGCTGCCAGGGATTTCACCCTCGCGGGGCAGTTTGCTCAAATCGAGCAACTCCTCAAGGATGCCGAGTTGGCGAAGGTCAGCGCTGAAAAGCTAAGTGTTGCCCTTGCCGACGCTGAGAGGAGGATTACAGAGCAGACGCAACGGCTCTCTGCGGTAGAGGAGAGGGCTGTTGGTTCAGAGGAAAGATGTCTGGCTCTGACCCAAGAGTTGGACAGGATCAGGGCTGAGGCACAGAACAGAAAGTCCAAGAAGCAACTCCGAGAAGAGTTCGCCGATGACGTGCTCCCCGCTCTTGAGGAAAATAACAAGGAGTTCTTCAAGAAGAGGTGGGACGAGACACTCCAGTCTGGTGGGATCCCTCCAGTCTCCCCGCTTTTTCAGATGCACAAATACGTGCTCTCGGCGGAAATGGAACAGGCCGAAGCCGAGATTGCTGCCGAGGGCATGATTCCAACGCCGGTGCAAGTTTCGGTAGATCCGCCCGAGGTGGTGATTGTGGACTTATCTGATGAGGCCCTGCCGGACCAGGCCCTTGACTATAATATTCCTCAGGCTCTCTCTGTTGTCGAAGTACCTCCCACTCTGCCTACTCCCGAAGCTGCTCAACCTTTTTACATTGATTCGCCATCGGGTGATGTTTTGGAGATGCCCGGGACCAGATGAAAGTTCTTTTATTTTCGATTGTAGGAGTAGGGAACGCCATCCTGGACGGAGGTACATCTCGGTACCGAGGGGGATTGGTATATGTAGGACCAATGTACCCTATCCGACCCCGAGGGATACGTGTCGGTATGTAAACGTACTGGATGTCATTGATACCTGTAAACAGTACCTCGGGGGAACAGGGACTCGTGATCCGACGAGTACGTGTCACGTTTATAGGAGAAGAATTTAGTGACGCCGAGGACATGTGTCTTCATTTTGGAATACTTGAAAATGTCCCATCAGTTTCCTATAAGAAAATAAGAAATCTCAAGTTTTGAGTAGAGCTACTCCCACTAACAGTAAATGCATGTGATGCATATTCTTGAACGGTAGAGAGTACCATCGGTTTTTTGTAGATTCTTCACAGTTTCAAAATGAAATGCTAATGGAAATTCAGTTCTTTCCCCAATGGTTTGAAGGCATGCCCCTCTGAGCTATGTTATGCAATTAGTAAGAAAACAATAATGGTAAATTTAAATTAAAGGGTTAATAGTATTTTTGGTCCCTAAATTATGTATTTTTGTCAGTTTAGTTCTCATTGTATCAATATTTTTAATTTAATTTTTAAAATATTCAATCTGTGTCACTTTGGTCTCTAATCAGAAAATCAATCAAATTTTTTAATGGAAGTTACCAAGTGTTATTTTTTTAGACGGTATCACGTGTTCAACACATAATCATTCCATCAAAAATTTAACAATTAATTTATATAGGAACTAAAATGACACAAATTAAATATTTTAGAGACCAAAGTTGATAAAATTGATATAATGGAGACTAAATTGATAAAAAAATGTATATTTTAAAGATTAAAAGTGATATTAACTCTAAATTGAAAGACCACTAGTCAGATCATCAATTATCTCTCTCTTTGTGATTGAAAGCAAGTTTTTGGAGACGCACCCTATATTTCAAATGGCTATGTCTTGAATGTGATTTTCCAAGCTTAAGTTCAGCTTTCCCACTACAAAAATACCGTACTTAACTTCCTACAACAGCTAGAGTGTAGTTTACTGGCTAATTCCAGGGCTATTAGACAATCCAAGTAGTTCGAACTTGGCTCAGAATAGGCTTTGTTTCATTTTGTTCTAGTAAGTTCAAATTGAAAAAATGATCCGAATTTTTTCAGATTTGTAAAATTATTCTTTAAACGAGTACTCACATAATGTTTGATTCGGCTCAACTCGACTTGAATAGGTTCTTGTCTATAAATAATTTTAGACCAGACAATCAATCTCTATTTGGCCCTTACTCTGTTAGAGTAAGTGATTAGGTGTGAATCCAAAAAAAAAATCTCTACTCTAACTCAAGTTTGGCTGATCACAATCAATTCAATTCTAAGTGTACCCGAGTTTGACAAGCTAGACCCAATTGACACTTTTAATTAGCATCCCAAAGTTGGAAGTGTAGATATGTAGATTGATGTAAAATGAGCTTCAAGAATTCAACTTTTCTAATCAAACAATATTACAACCTTCTACTGCAGTCTTGTGGAAAACCTCACATGTATGGTCCAGATTAAGAAACTCCCAAAGAGAAAAAGAAGAAGATCCTCATAATACTCAAATGATTTTGTAGTTTTTTTTTTTATACATGTTAAGAGTCTCATCATAAATATTTTGAGAATGTTAGTAAGAGTAGAGCCAATTTTGGGTGGTATGAGTTTAATACCATTGGATTATCATTGTAGCCTCAATTATTTGAGAATTTCTCCTTGTTCATAATCAACTGGGGTGCATTTAAAATATATTTCATTGTATTTTTTCTATTTCTATTTCTATCATCTCTAACTATTTCATCCATCTTACATATAAGAGGAAAACCTTAATTATAAAAACTAGGAATTTCATAAACTTCGTTTGTAATAATATGCTGCCTAAAACATCAAAATGAAAGACGATAGAGCGCTAGAGTAAGAATTGGACCCAAAAAAATAAAAAGGGCTTTTCGCATGTTGCACCCCAAAAGATTTCAAGGTTTTTAATTTGTATTTTTAAAAATTAAATTTTTTATATTGCACTCTCAATGAATCAATGTGTCTCCTCTATTAGTTTTTGTTATTTTTTTTTCGTCAAAAGTCAATCCATTTACACGAACAAAAAAATTAATAGAAAACTAACAAAAGTGTCACATTGCAATTCTTTTGATACATTAAAATTCACCCAAATAAAATGCCAAACTTGGTCTTCTATATCTATATCAATACTATTTACAAATGTCAGTATCTGTAAAAAACTTTTAATTTTATATTTGATCCATAATTATTATTATAATACTAATTATACCCCCAACATATCTTTATTAATATTATTCTTTTTCCCTCCATATTCTATTTTTTTTAAAAAGAGAATTTATTTATTACCAAAGCAAATTTACTCCATATCCTATTTACCCATAAATTTCATTTGAATTATAACTCTTCTTATTTTAACATCTTTAATTACAATTATAACTCTAAGAACTCCAATTATCTATAATTTTATTAAAATATAGTTGAAAGATTAAATTTTACTATCAAATATATGTCATATATTTTTTGGTATGAAATAATATCATAATAGTAATACAAACAAAAGAATTACAATCTAATTAATCTCTTTGTTAATAAAATATAATACATTTATAATATAATTAAATATGTAAATACTCAAGAATGACAATTTTTAAACTCCACTATAAACAACAAAGAAAATGTCTAAAAGGGCCGAAGAAATACCTAAAAAATGATAAATTATATATTTCAAGAAGGGTAGAATTGATATTTTTTTTTCAGAATAGATTGATAATTAGATTTAGCAGTAATTAAAATAAAAATAAATTATTCTACATATAGTTTATTGTTCATTTTAATTACAAATATAATTTATTTTTAATGAATAATTTATTATTTAAATATATTCACATGCATCGTATGTCGTGTATTGCTAATCTATATAATAAAATAGTTTACAATTTAAATCTTAAAAGATAAACAAAATGACTTTTGCTATTCGCGATTGAGATCACTTTAAATTTTATTTCAAGTTAATCTAACGACTAATATTAATATCTTAAATTTAATAGAAAAATAGGCCCCTAAAGGTGTGTTTGGAGTGATTTTTTAAAAATACTTCTACAAATTATTTCTCATAATTATTTTTAAAAAAATAATAATATTTGAAACCACCCCACCACCATCTCTACCACCACCGCCACCGTTGTCGTCGCCAAAATTTAATAGGAAAAATGTTAATCTAACGGTAAACATTGACACCCTAAATTTAATAGGAAAAATAGACCTCTAAAAGTGTGTTTGGAGTGGCTTTTTAAAAGTACTTTTAAAAATTATTTTTAATAAATACTTTAAAAAAAATTGTACTTGAAACTACCCCACCACTGCCTTTACTACCACCACTATCACTGTCGCCACCATCATTATTGTCGTCGTCGCCGCCTCCGCCACCACCACCATCACCACCACCATCGCCCCACCTCCATCGCCACCTCCACCCCCTCGCCGCCGCCACCACCATCCCCACTGCCGCCACCGTCACCACCACCCCCCACCCCCAGGTCACCGCCCCCACAACCACCGTCGCAGCCGTCACCACCGCCACTACCATCACTATCGCCATCATTGTCGCTGCCGCCGCCGCCATTACCACCACCCCCATTGTTGCCGCCACTTCCACCACCATCGTCGTCACCACGGTCATTGCCACCCACCACAACCATCATCGTCTCCTACCACCACTATTGTCGCTCACCACCTATCACCCCACTACAAATCGATATTAGAAATTATTTTTAATAAATACTTTAAAAAAAATTGTATTTAAAACTACCCCACCACTGCCTTTACCACCACCACTATCACCGTCGCCACCATCGTTATTGCCGTCGTCGCCGCCTCCGCCACCACCACCACCACCACCATCGCCACCACCACCATCGCCCCACCTCCATCGCCACCTCCACCCCCTCGTCGCCATCGCCGCCGCCACCACCATCCCCACTGCCGCCGCCGTCACCACCACCCCCCACCCCCCGGTCACCGCCGCAGTCGTCACCACCGCCACTACCATCACTGTCGCCATCATTGTCGCTGCCGCTGCCGCCGCCGCCGCCGCCATTACCACCACCCCCATTGTTGCCGCCACTTCCACCACCATCGTCGTCATCATGGTCATTGCCACCCACCACAACCATCATCGTCTCCTACCACCACTATTGTCGCTCACCACCTATCACCCCACTACAAATCGATATTTAATTTCTTTTATCTCCGCTCTTTATTTGTGATTTGATTTTTGATATAAAAACAAATATGTTTATTATTTAATATTTTTTATTACTCTGTGCCTTCAGGCACATACAATAACTAGTAATTTGAAATGTTAGAAAGTCCTTATCATTAATTTTGTACATAGGATTGAAAATTATTTACTCAATGTCATTATATTTATTGTTAGGTTTGCAAGTTGCAATAAAGGAACTTTATATCATTTTACCAAACAAAGGGTTTTTCTTTCCACTGTCTTACCATTAGCACTTTTATCTTTGCCCTATAAATTTCATTTCTCTACTCTTACTTTGAGTATCTCAGGGAACAAGTAAATATGACTAGTCATAAGCTGCTATTAATTATGCTTATGAGTGTTATTGTGTTAAGTGGTGGTTTTATTGACTATTCTAGTGGATGGGATCATGCTCATGCAACTTTTTATGGTGATATGAGTGGTCGGGATACCATGCGTAAGTTTTATTCTTGACTGTTATTAATACTCTACTATCTAGATGTTAAAATATGTTGTGTATCCGTGTTTTTAGTAAATTTGTAATGTGCTTCAATCTCAATCTAGTGTGATGTTTCTATTTTTTTTGGATCCATCCAAATTCATTAAGATAAAGGTAACGATGATCTAATGCTCAAAAGCCCATGTTTGCATTTTTTTAATTTTCTTTTCATTTAGAATTGATTCTCTGCATCTTAATTATAGAGGGAGCTTGTGGATATGGTGATTTAATAAGACAAGGATATGGACTCGAGACAACAGCGTTAAGCAGTACACTCTTTAACGATGGAGCAAGTTGTGGAGCATGTTTTGAAATAAAGTGCATAGATTCCAAATGGTGTAAAGCAGGCGTCGAATCAATTCAAGTGACGGCTACTAACTTTTGTCCTCCAAATTATACAAAGACGGTTGATATTTGGTGTAACCCACCTCAAAAACACTTCGATTTGTCCATGCCTATGTTCGTAAGAATAGCAGAATACCAAGCTGGAATTGTCCCTGTTGTGTATCAAAGAGTGATGTGCCACAGAAGAGGTGGGATTAAGTTTGAATTAAAAGGGAAGTCATCTTGGTTCCTTGTGTTAGTATACAACGTTGGAGGTGTTGGGCAAGTTGTTGATGTGAAAGTCAAAGGTTCAAGGACCAATTGGTTACAAATGTCTCGTAATTGGGGCCAAAATTGGCAAACATTAGAAAACCTGCAAGGACAAAGCTTATCATTCCAAGTTAAAACCAGCGATGGTGGAGTGGCACAATCCAATGATGTTGTGCCATCTAATTGGCAAATTGGTCAAACATATGAAGGACAATACTTTTAGTCACTCCAATTATTGCAATTAAGATACAATTAGGTGTTATCTTATGTGATGTAGACCAAGAATTAGTATTTTTCATATTTTATTTTTATTATTTTGTTAGGATAATATTTTAATTAGGAATATTCTAGAGTTATTTGCTACTTAAATCATGTCAATTTTTCTAATTATATTAGACATGAGTTTTTTTTTCCTTTTAATAACAGTATTAGAATTAGGAATTTGTTTCCTTTTTAACAAATTAAAATAAAATGCATAAAATATAAATTAACACATATATTACATTTTTGAGAAGAATGTTTTGCTAAATATATAAAAAAATTTGAGAAGTATCATTGCAATTGTGTTTGATCCTCGTTATAAACTTGACTTTATGGAGTGGTGCTATAAGAAACTTTATGGTGAACAAAAAAGGGGATAGGGAGTCTCCTTGCTGTAAGCCTTGTTGTGATTGGAGTTTTTCAAAGTGACCTCCATTTATAAGGGATTGAAAAGGATGGGGCGGCTATGCATTGTTCTGTCATGCTAATGAAATTTATTAGGAATCCTAGGAATGACAATATGTGTAAAAGGAAGGGCTATTCTACTCTATCAATGGTCTTTGACATATCAAATTTGAGTAGCATTAAACCCCCTTTCCCCTTTTTAAAAATGTTTGAGAGTGGGCCAGGGACCATCCTGTGCCAAGGGTGGCTCCACCCTTCACTGGGGACTCGAGCCATAGGGGGTGGTAGGGATACCTTACCAAACTTGCATTCTGTGAATTATTCAACAGGAAAGCTTTTTATCAAAAAAAAAAAAAAACAGGAAAGCTTATTATCTGAACTAGACATTTTACTTACCCCAAAAAAACCTCTTGATCTCATTAGGTAAATGCTCTGAGCCTATGAGCATCAAAAATAGAAATTAGACACTGCCACATTGAAACATTCCTTGGTGTTGGGTTCCAGCTCATGTGGGGAGCCCAACCGTAGTCAAGGGGTCCAAGCCCATTTATTTTTGTTTCGAACCCTTGGTACTACATGTTTGTCTTCAATTGAAACTCCATGCACAAAATCAAGATTTGAGCAGGCAATTAATATTTGATTTTGATTACATTTTAGTATGTTGTTCATAATAACAGGGATTATTCAGTGATTAATTTATTTTATCGAAAGTTTTTTCGGATTGATATTTTGCAAGATTTATCGGATGAGATATCTTCTTCTTCTTTAGTTGATACCCATTTTTTGGATGATGGATTATTTGATAGTCTCTGTAAATTGTTCTGAGTAGGTTATTATAAATCCATTATTAAAATATAAGGAAAAGTTGAGATTGGAGTTTTTTGATGTACCCCGGATTTTAGGGAACCACACAAATTTTATGTCTCATTTGTGGTTGATTTGATTATATGTTTTAATTTATTCGTTGATTGTATTTGGCACATCACCTATTTAATTTGCATAAAGAGAAATAGAAAAATTAATTTCATTATTTTTGTGAGTTCATCCAATCACTTGGAATCACCAAAATTGTTCCTCTGGCATTCAAGTTATGATTTTTTCTAATTGGCCCTTTAAGAAAATCATATCAAATATCCTGAAATTCTCTAACCACAACTACCAACATTAACAGTGGTTAAATACATATAGAAGTTTTATGTTGCTGTGGACGACGAGTGTGGGACTTTACACAGTGCTGCTGCTACTTTATTGTGATGTGTGGCATCACAAGTTCGAGACACAAAAATAATTTTTTTATATGTCGAGATAAAATCTATGTAATAAAATATCTAGGAGTTTGAATTTTGATCTCACACATATTTTCTCTCCCAAAACCATTTCATCACTCAATTATATCACATGTTTAATTATTTAATATTTGATAATCTAACATAATTATTGTTTCATACATTGTTCATACACGATAATGTACACGTGTTAAAAATTTTTTTCCGAATTATACATTTTGAGAAAATTTTAATAGATATAATTTAATTTTAAATGATGTAATCAAATAAATAAAGAAAAAAAAATTATTATTTAGTATAGTAGGATTAATTTTTTAAACGGTCAAATTTTATATTTTATCGTGCCTTCAAATACGAGTTATAACTAGTTATCTATCTAATGAGTTTGAATTTTATCCTTCACATAATTTTCTTCCCCAAAACCATCATCTCTCAATCACCTCACCCAAATCTCTCGCTTAATCATTTAGGTCACTTAATATTTAAAATATTACACACATACCTCCTGAAGCTTGTAGGCGTGTAGCACTTAGATATCTAATTCTGAACGCAATTCATAACTTTGAATCACTTACTAACTTCGACATGGGAGAGTCGACCCCTGAAACTCCCTTCTGATCTCCGACTTTTTTTTGTCAAGTGATTGAAACCCAACAAATGACGTGGTGATCATTCAAATATTGGCATTAATAGTAATAATTATGATATTTTTAAGTAAAATTTATATTTATATTTTTAATTTTATTTCAATAAATAACATAATAGTACATGAATTTTGATTATAAAATTTAAAATATTTGATATTCTATTTTTAATTGGAGTATTTTTTGTTTAAATATAACATTTTAAACTTGATAGGTATAGGTATTACATGCTTCAAATTTTAGGGATTTGTATATAATTTACTAATGAATATACTGACGATATTAATGACAAAAGTCTATGTGTTACACATGTACAAAACCTCAATAGGTTTGTGTGTAATATTTTAAATATTATGAGATCTAGATGATTAAGTGACAAATTTAAGGGATTTAAGTATAATTTTTTATAATTTTTATAATATTTTTGCTAACTTACAAAATAACGAAGGGGAGAGAGTAATCGGAGAAAAAGGGAATTGAGAGGAGAATGAGATAGTCTGAGCATCGCACGGAGTCGCACAGCTAGTATTTTTTATAAAATACTGTAAAAAATAAAAGAGACTGCGGCTACGACAAAAAGATATTTGAATAATTTTCAAATTTATATTTCGCTATACAAATAAAAAATTTTGAAAAAACAAGTTGAGGGTGGGCCTTACTCGATCCGCCCATAGTTGCCTGCCTGGTAAAGAACCACCATTACACTGAGACCATGTCTCTCTTCCTCCTTGATTATGTCCATCTCTCTACACTTTTTTAAGACATTTTCCTCTCTCTCTCATCCGTCAATATTAAATGAGTCCCTCTTTCTGAGTTGTTGACCGGGCAAGTCATTTGACGAGTCTCTCTCTCTCTTTCTCACACAGTAAGGCAGCCATTATAGAATAAAGAGAGTAACCTCCGGCCCCTGGGTTTCCAACTTTTCATTCCTTCTCTCTCCCCCCAAAAAACCTATTCTTTTTCAGTGTCCATAGTCCAATTCACATGGCGGTTTTGGTGTAGCAGACCCAGGGAGAGAAGGAAGTGGATGATATTGAGAGTCAACTGGTGAAAGCAATTGACTGTTTTCTCCCAGACTTCCAGGAGGAAGCATCAAACGAGTACCAGGAGTTGGGCAGGAGGAAGCATCAAAAGAATACCAGGAAGTGGACTTATTGTGGGATCATTTTGTTGCTGGTGATCATCTTGTTTGTTGTCTTCTCTACAGTGACGCCATGAAATTAATTACAAAAATATGAATTAATAGCATTTTTAATCCTTAAAATATGTATTTTTTTAATCAATTTAGTTCTTATTGTATTAATTTTGTCCACAAAATATTTAATTCGTGTCATTTTGGTCCCTAATCAAACAATCTGCCAAATTATTTGACAGAAATAACCACGTGTCATTTTTTTAGATAGTATCATGTGCCCAATACATGAAACAATGAGCACTAAAATGATCAAAAATAGATATTTTAAGGACTAAAGATGCTATTAACCCAAAAATATATTCAACCATAGAGTTTGGTTGAATGGGTATATCAGTTATCACCTTCTTCTTAAACATAGTACTAGGCCAAAACAATAGGCTAGACTATTAAGATCTCAATATATAGTATTATTTTTTGAAAAGATGATATTAGGTAGACATTGTAATTAGGGGAGTTTGGTGTTGGCTTTTGTGGTTAATGTATATTATTTTACCAGTTAACTACTAGTATTATTAATGTTTCATCGTCTCCAAATCAGTAATGGGGATTTCCATTTTTTTTAAGTTGTAAATGAGTAAATTATAATCATGGGTTATTGAACTGTTGACTATAACAATCACCTTATCAAAAAAATTTCTAATCCTTGCCATGAACATTTGCTACAATTGGCATCGTACCATATTAAAAACGAAAGTGCATTTCTTGAGGAGTTGGTTTTTTTTTTTCAGTTAGACAATATTAAAGAAGAGAAAGACGACGAGATTCGAACTCGTAACCTTAAAATTCAACAACGGAGACAATGACCATTGGCTCAACCACTAACCTCGAATGGTTGATTACTCAACAGTAATATTGCTATGAAAAATTAATCTACAAAATGGTTCACTATTCAAAGATTAAAGTTTGCTTAAATTAAATGTTTATATGGATGAAATCAAAGTATTATGATCAAGAAAATTAGTAGATTCCAAAACTCACAATAACTTGTTGAATTTTTTTATAATCTTGCATTTGCTACCCCACTCTCTTCCATCACTACTTTTTACCCCGGAACAAAATTCACGTGGATTTCGCCGATTTGTATAAAAATTCTCATATTCAATTCTTTCTTATATCTGTTAAGCTTAGTCATTTTTTTCTTTTAAGAGACATATTCTAGCATAACTAAAGTTACGGTGGCTAGTCACCGAATTCAAAAGAGTAGTGGACACAAGCCTAAATACCCTATAATAAAAAAAAAAAAAATTTAGAAACTATTGAACTCGAAGAAATAATTAACACAAATGTAGACATTCTGTAATAAAAAAAAAAGGTAAGGACCCAACGTAAGTGTCAACAGCCAACAAAAGTATCTGGGTTTTGTACAATTATTATTAAGCCACCAACTCGTGAATTTGGATTTTCTTTAATATTAATGCATTTTTGTTATTTT